GTGTGATGAAGAATAAATAACGAATGATAGATGTCTCAACTATAGAAATATTCTAACGGAGGTAAATTTTAAATTTGTTGTTTATCTTCCAATTGCACAAAAAGCTAAATCTAATTTCAATTTTATATGTCTATAAAATAATACTATTGTATTAAAAATATATTATATAACAGCATAAAATTAACTACTGTGGGTAAAATATTAATATTTTTATATGAATTATAATATCATCAACTAACAAATTATATAGATAATAAACTTATTCAATTTAATAATTATATTAGAATTTTAATGGTATAGATTTTTTTGCATTATGTGTCTAACATAAAATTATTTTATGTTTCAATTTGTTATTTCTATCTATATTTTCGAGAATTTCAAAACACATTTATTTGAATAATAATATGTTACAATGTGGCAATACTAATTTTTTTCTCTTTTTAGTTTATTTTTTTATACTACTGAATTTAGATTATCTTAATATAGTAAGACTTAAAGCATAATATTGAACAATAACGCAGTATAACTCTATTATACTATTATGATGTAATATTCAATACCCGAATTAAATATTAGCAAAAGTAAGTTAATATTTTACATAATCGATTATAAATTTTAAATGCTTTGATATATAAATTCAAATATCTAACACCTTAGAGTATAACTTGGATTAAAGTATGTATTTAATACATAACTTTTCTATCAATTTTAAATAAAAGTTTAACATATTATTATTCTTTTAATATATACTTTCTTAAATCTATGAACAATTTGCATTCGATAACGAATATTAATTATTTTGATTAATTTCAATATATTTTCTAACTTTTGTGTATCAATGAACATTTATCATTCCACATTATTTTCAAATGCTATAAATAATTCAAACGAGACTCTTCCTACTTTCATAAACATCTAATAGAATCTTGTAAAAATTATTATAGTAATTATAATAATAATAATAATATATGAATAAAATCTGTTCACTGTCGTCACATTCAAATTTCTTTTAATAATCATGTAGCACATAATTCTGCTTTGATTATTATATTTATATTCTTAATATTGTTATCATATTTATTAAAAGGCAAAAAATTATAAAAGAATTTTAAATATTTGCCTAGCATTAATAAATATTTAAAAATACATATTTTTAGTACCCAACAGTAATAACTAATAATTTGCTATTGTTTTATCCACTTTCTTAGAATTTCATTTCTTAGAATTTCTTGTACTTTACATTATTTAGATTATATAATAATCTAATCACCAAATTAGTCTCTCTAAATTTCTTCTCACAATTTATATATTTTTAAAAATTGTGTAATTTATAATATTTCTATACTACGTTACATTCTTTTTCAATAGCTTATTATTATTGTTACAATTTTTTTTGGTATTATTAATAATTATTAAGTACAATATATTATATCTCAACATTTTACATAAAACAATTAATCAAAAATTGAATATTTACATGACATTAAATAATTTATATTTACCATTTTACTCACGCGCGCCCTCGCACACACACACACACACACATACATGCATCTAATTCAACAAACCTGCTCTTGACGTTTGAAGCCTATTTTATCTATTAGTTATTTATGGCGATAATATAATGAAAGAACAGTAGAAAAATATTTTACAGGAATAAAAATAATTATATTAAAAGAGACTACCAAATGTATGTTTGCTTATTTGTCAAAAAATTGATCTATATATATATATATATATATATATTTAAATAGCTATATAATTGATTTAATATATCTATCTCCTACTTAATGATTAAAATAATCAATTAAAAGCAAATATGTATTTATATATAATCGTATATAATATAATAAATATATTTGTAGTCAGATAAATGCATATTAATATTCTATTACAATATTTTCGTATTTACTAATCAGTGTGCAATAACTTACTTCTCTTCACTTGTATATATAATGGTTTATAAAATTTCTTTGAATATTTAAAAATTTTCAATTTACAACACTTTCCATCTACTCTAATACAGAAGCTGTCAATCTTTCATATTATGGAAAATCAATTTTATTAAAAATTTTGTTTTTACTAAAATATTTCAGTAAGGTTAATAATTCAAATTGCTATTTATAAATTTATTTAAAACACATAATTTAATTTTAAACCATAATTATTATTTTTAAAAAGGTGAATTACTCATTAATCAAATATGATTTTTCACTGTTATTCACTTATTGTATATCAATGATTCATCATTAATAATTTTAATTTCTTTATATTAATTGTTTAAATTAATAAATTTAATGGGCATGCAAATTTTATTATGATATTTAGTATAAGCTATTATCTGAAAGGCTCCAAGTACTTTCAGTATAAAAACATTCCAGTCAATAATGATCGGAGCTCCTTGAGTGTGTTGATATAAAATTTTTCTCTCAGAAAATGCTAGTTAACTTAAGTTTTAAGAGGGCATATGTAAATGATACTTTCCAACGTTCATCGTAAGAAAAATGTCGGTAATCTGCTACATTTTTACCTTTAGTTAAACATTTAATAGATAAATGAGTATGAAAATAAATATCTACTTATTATAATTAAGGTAAGTAATGAAAGTAATGAAATATAGAAAATTCCTAAGGCCAATTTGTAAAGGAGATGAAACCATCGCTAGTAAAACATCTATGAAAACTTATCGAATGAAGAATTATAAATATCATCCGGTAATTTTAGTCATTTTTTTTACCAATTTTTGTGATCATCTTCAAGAATACTAGTTCTGAAGCACATTCACTTTGTACAAATGCAAGAAAAATGTTCGCCATCTTTGAAGTCTGATACAGATCTCTTGTAAACTAATGTGAAATGCCACTAATAGTTGGTAAGTATCTCAGACTTTTCTGCGATCAATGATACCAAACGTTGAACTGTGCTACCTTTAATCTAAATTCTCCTGAGAAAACCATTTTAATTAAAACTTAATCGTCACGATGGTTTTGTACTACCCTTCTCAATTTTCCCTGTCTATCCCAGAGACACCTGCAAACATATCATGCATCTCACGCACTCACTCTATTAACTTCTTCTATTATCGTTTTTAATCAATATACTAGTTCATATACGAATACATCTTTACACAGCTACATTTTTGCCATTAGAAAATATTAACCATACGTCGAACTTATTTTTTTAAAGAAGATCGTAATAATTAATAATTTATGGAATTTTCTTCACGAATTTATACATAAAAGAAAGTAAATATTTGTTGAGTTATATTATAAATTACTCTAGTATATTTAATAACGATAGAATTAAAATTCCAATTCTATGGATCTAACGTAAATTGTATTCAGAATATAAATTTCTAATAATTATTTCTAATAAAATAATATTAAACTAATAATTTCATATAGTTTTAATACTCCTACACAAAAAAAATATTACATAAAATTATTGTTTCATAAAGTGGAAATACTTAATAACGTTATATTATACACGTTATAAAAACAAAAATCAAGCCGATTCTTATTAATCACGGTCACTTTAACAATTTTCTTTGTCATTACTATTATCAGATATTGCAGTTTTTGATAAAATACTTTTACAAATATTATAAATACTCAATGTTGCAAGTTTACCGCCATTAATCCGATAATATATTATAAATAAATACTTTTTAAATTAACTTAGTTAACTTTGATTTTTTATATTTTTGATAATTTTAAAATGTATATATTTAAAAAATAAGCTATTTCGATTTTTAAAATAATGATATTAACTGGAGGATATAGATTTAAATTGGTGATATTAAAAATAGTTTATAAAAATCATCTCTGAAGTACAGTAAACTTACAAAAATGGAATTTCAACTTTAAACATGTTTAAGGTTATATATTTATACTTTGTTTTATATTTCTTCCAATTTATTATGCACTTTCACCTCAACTATATAATTTCAACTTATTTGTTTAACTAGTTAATTGGCTAACTAGTTTATTGTGTTTTATAACTTTAAACCTGCCATACGTCAAAGAAATAAATAATTTAGTAAATATATGATAGCAGATCAGCATTTATACAAATTGTAAAAAAAAACTATTATAAAATTATTTATTTTAGTTTATAAAAGTACATTAATAAATCTACGTATTTAAGAGATTATAAAATTAGATGTATGATGATACATTTAATGATGATATAATTATTATTTTTATTTCGAAATATAAACAAAAATACAAAATTACAAAAATTAAAAAAAAATCTTTTTGTAATAAGAATGAAGTACAAAAACTAAATAGATGTAAATATATTCATGAAGTTGTTGACTCTAATTATTGAGATATACAGTAAAAAAATTACATTTATTTAAACATAAGAATCAAATAAAGATATTGTTCTAAATTTTCATGTGCATTTTTAATTGTACTCTAAGTAATTAAATAAAAACTAATTTACCAAAGAAATTTTTATAATTATTGTAAGTTTTAATCGAATAAAAATCATGTAATGAAAAATTAGATCAACGATTTTTTAATAGAGAACTTTTATAATATGCCCATAACACATCTCCAGAAGATAGAGTAACGAGTATAATGAGAATTATTATGTAAGAAAAACTAATGCATAATACCTTAATTATTAATATAAAATTATTACAAAACTTTATTTAACGTTTATACGCATTTATACAATGTTTATTTTAATTAAAGTATGTATGCAAATTATTTGAATAAAAATAAAAATATTGACATATTTTTATTATTTTTTAATTGATTTTTTTAAATCAGAAAATAATTATTTGATTGTAATAAATTAAAAAACAATATTCTTTTTTTTTGTTATTACAATACTTTGAAGTATACATACTTTTTTACATTAACTATTACTAATTGAGCCCCTATAATCAATAAATAAATTAACGCATATATATTATTGTACTAATTAAAACAATAACGTAATTAAAACAATTATGTTTAATATTTTACAGCACTCATGGTGTAAGGCTCATATGCTGAAATGACTTCATGGGATTTGCGTTTCTACTTTTTTCTATCGACACTTCTCCACTCCACAATTGGTAAACTTCTAAAAACACAAACAACTATGTTTCTTATTCTCTCGTATAAACAAACTCTTTTATTACATCGATATGTATAATTCGAACTATTTGCTTTTTAAAAATATTACTCTTTTATAGAAATAAATATATCGCAAGTATGGAAAGTTACGAAGATATAACATATTATTTAAGACACATTATTACAAATGAAAAATACTAATGAATAATGATTAATGTAATAAATTGATGTAATAAATCTATATTTTATACAGTTAGTATAAAAATGCATTTAAATAATTTCATGATCAAAATTAGATAATAGAAAAATAATTACATAGAATTAAGAAATTGTACTTTCTTTAAAAAATTAAAAATTATCTTAAAAATATTTCATTACAAAAATAATATATTACTAATTTCATATGTAGAAAGTAGCAAAGACATACAGATGGACATTATTATAGGACATTATTATAGGACAACGTAAACTGAAAAATACCTGGACATTTATAATTAATTACATTTTAAAAATGGAAAATTGTAGATTTCATTTCCGGCTAAGTAAATCTACTGTATGTAAATCATCAGAATAATTAGTTATTAATATGAAATTGACAATCCGCTTTAAACAAATAAAATTATTTATAATTCACAAATATTTAACATCATACTAATATAAAGTATAATACACATTATACGAATTTGTCAGATTTATATACTATTCTTTGAATTTTATATGAATATAAAAACAGCAATTAGACATTAATTTTCATTGTAAAAATATTTTAATATTTTTTATACTGTAATAAATTCACTTCATTATAAAAGTAGCTAAGTAATGTCTACTTTCTTTATAAACTGTATAGAAGAAAGCTCAAACCAATAAAAGTCATATGCTATTTTTATTTAATAGGGTTCACAAGAATGATGTCAATATTAAATATTGTTATATATTTAGAAAATGAGTGTTTATACCAACGAAAGTATTTTACATGGCGGTTCACATGTATGGATCAAAAAAATTTCTATTTCATGTAACAGCTGCATTTATTTTTATTTTTATCTAATAAATGTAGTTTTTTTGAATTTACTGTATATTTTACTATTCGTGATTTTCATAAAAAATTATAATATTGACTATGTTCAAAAATTCTATTTTATTATAATTTGACTTAAAGCACCATTATAAAGGCAATAATTAACTTTTCACATTTTAGAATAATTAGTTTTATTATAGTTTTGTTATCAAATTTATATACAAATATATTTCGTTTCGGTTACCTAGTTTCACAGTTACACCGCTAGTAAAAACTATTCAAACGTTCCTTAAGTTCACTATATCAAATTTATTGTTATAATTTTATATAATCTGAGTTAAATGAAAAATAATTGTGTTTCTTTAAACTGCCATACGCTTGAATTTAAGTTAAAGTTATAATTCCATTGTACTACACTTATTTCTACCGAAAAAATACTCTTTTTACGGTAACGTGATAATAAAATACTCACAGATTTGATTATATTTTTAATACTAGAAACTGAAATGATAGCATTAAGCAGATACCTTCAGAAGTAATGAATTTCGCAATCAGCAGTATCTATAATAAATATTGCACTCGTTCAAAAAGGCGATGTATACCATTTTTAGGCGGCTACATAATTTGGTTTCAATATATTTGAAAAATCAGATTACTTTTCATTGATTTAATTTTGTTATTGAATTACAAGAATAATAAACAACATTTTAATAAACAAGGATTTAAAGTCTAACTTGAATAATCAATTAATAATAAAGGAAACACAGTTGAGAATAATTATTTAATATTCTTACTTAATTACTCGGTCTTTACTAATAGGACGAATTAAACGAATAAAATCCATTTAACCATATTTCAAAATTTATGAATATTAGATCAATATAATCATTACATTTATATACATATTTAGATGTTACATACAAGTTCAAGTGATTGAAAGAAAAAACAAATAAGTTTACTCTGCTAAGAATAGAAGCTAAGATCTTCCAATTCCGGAATAGATATTTCCTTCCCAACTAAACTTATAGTTACCCATATATACTTCATTATTCGAGTCACCGTTGTAAAATGATTACAATGCTAATACTCAGATGTCTATAGTTAACCGTGATCGAACAAAGATTATTGCACATTAAAAACATTAATAAAATTTTAGAATTTCACGTATTACATTTTTATCACACGTAATCCATTTCAATTCATATTCATAATTTTCTTTTGGAAAATATTTAATGTGAAAATTAATAACTGACCGAAATAGTTCGTTAAAAGTTAGCTCCATCAAATTATGTAATTCAGTTAAAGCAAAATAGTACAGCAATAAAAAAATATATGAATAATAATACATCAATTTTATTCATCGTTAGAAATATTATAATTGATAAAAAGAAAAACTTAATGGTCCTAATTTAATTTTGATTATAAATTTATAATCTATACTTTGTAAATTTATTTGAAGTCATATCTGAAAATCTCAAAAAAATTATACTTTAATAAAATTGTGCAGGAAAAAAAGTACGAGCAGTCAACTTTTCAGGTGATAGGTATCTCGAAAATATTAAGTATCTCGAACTCCAACCACAGTTCTTGGCACCACTAGAGAACCATACGGTTACTCAAGGTCGTGATGTCTTCTTCACTTGCGTTGTTAATCATCTTCAATCTTATAAGGTACGTGCAATGCATATCATTTTCTGATCGTAGCATTAATAGGTGCACAATTCATGAATAACTGCGTATTTTCCAATTCCATTCTTAAATGCCACTTTCAAAGACATGTGAGACTGATTAATTTTACTTAAGATTTAATATACAAAAACATACGTGAAAAAAGTTATAATTAAAATGCAATTTATTGTATTTTATACTAACTATACAGTTCGCAATACAACTGATTGAATAATAACTATAAATTAATGAATAATGAAAATTAATGTTTAATTACATGTTCAAAGAATAATAATAAAAATCTAAAATGTGCAATGGAGATCTTTTTATAAATTAATACATTTCATTACTGAAATAAAGTTTTTTTCATATTTATGACATAATAGGGAACAATGAAAATTTCACAGTCCCTAATTAAAAATACTATATATTCAATTTATTTTTTTATTCAAATTAAGAATTATTTTTAAATAAACGTTGTAAACATCTCTATGACTAGTTATTTGTTTATAGTCATACTCTTAAATAGTAAAATAGTAAAACAATATTTATGGTAATAAAGATAAATTAATATAGTTGTTAGAAAAAAATGATAACGTATTTGAAATTATATTGACACTATATTCCATAATAACGTATATATCAATTTGAAATTAATTTTATTTCTTATAAACTATTATTTAAATTATTTTCTAATATATATATATATATATATTACTTATGGAATTAAATATAATTTATGTTGAAATAGAAGATTAAATTAGATAACGCTAAAGATAAATTGACAACAAACACTTATGGGTTTATTGCGTAAATTTAATTACATCCATTATCCAAATTAAACTATTTCAGAGATATAGATTAAGAGAATCATTACTAATAATGTTGTCATTTGATATATTAATTTTTTAATTATTAAATAATAAAATTTTGATTGCAAATTTAAACGGTCTTTTTGTGAAAAAAAAATGAATAAAATTATATAATTATTTTGTATCCTAAATAACTATCTTAGAAAGTTAAAATTTACATAATATATTGTTTCAATATATATTACAGAAACTATAGCTTTATATCAGAAATGCTAAAGACCTTGTTAATGTAAAAAAATATGGTGACAGATTATACAGATCCTAATTATTTATATATGTATTATATGTATTCTTATTCCTATCACTCTATAATTATATTGACTAAAATTACATTGATAAATTACTTGATTATGGTGTTTACATTTTTTAGGTTTTTTTTAGAATTTTATTTACTTTTTCAATTACACTATTTTACTTTTCACATTGTGTAGATACATATTAATTTATTATACATTGAATTGAAATTGATATTATGGTGAGATGATTACAACAAATATAGATACGATAACACAATTATGTTATCTCAAAATGTAAGTAATATTTGAAATTGAATGTGTGAAGGTTACTGCTTATCAGTTGAACTGGTAATCGATACAAAAAGTACTGTTGAATTTAATTCTTCATCGAAATTCATAATAAAAATTTATTTTATTTTAATAAATTTATTTACTTTTACTTATATAGAATTATTTACTTTTAATCTATCAATAATTAAGAATTCCAAATATCATGAAAATATAAAATTAAGTAAGAAAATATTGTTCCGAAACTATATATGAATCTAGTGATAAAATCGTCATTGATAATATAAATTAAAAAATTTATATTAAGTATAATATTATTATTATTTGAAAGAAGTTGTACACCAATGAAAGCTATAAAACAAATAATAATACTTCTAAAAAGTAATATTACATCATTAGAATTATTTGAAATATTTTCACCAAAACATAAATTTAATGTAAGAAAAATCAATTTTAAATACATATTTTTAATCTACTACTACTACTACTACTACTACTACTACTACTACTACTACTACTACTTACATTAAGTTCAATTTCATCTAAACAATTATTTGCTTTAAATTAACAAATTTATTTAGAACAATTAGTAATACAACATGTACCTTTTAAAGGAAAAAAAGAGAAAATACACATAATTTTCATCATTTACTATCACTTTGCCTCTTCTATAGCAATTCCATGTTTCCACAGGGTCTTACATTACTAATGGATGGACTTTCCCTAAATAATAATTTTTCAGCTTTTTCCCCTAACAAACAAACATTCTTCCATTAACATACGTTTACATGTATGTGAATTTTTCGATTACTTATTTGTGTCTTTACGTCAATACTAGACTAGTGATGGGGATCAATATGGGAATCAATGATAGTACGATAATAGCTTATTAAATTCGATAAATCGGATATCCGTGACTACTGAAATCGAATCCCAATATATACGAATATCAATATGCATTTTGACTTTCCACCGAAACTCGTTATTATTCATTACAAAATCAAATCTTTTATCACATTTCCAATTATATTCGTATAAACTTTTTTTTTTATTTTATGTCTATTAATGTATAAATATATAATTCAAGGTTTAATAATTTATTGATTTAATATTATTTTCATGACTAAACATAATTTTTTAATTTATTAAATTTACCTTTTTAATCAATTTGTTTATCTTTTATATTACATTTTCATATTTATTTTAATGCTTCACCTAACTGAATATATAAAATTGTTATTAGATTTATTGTTTATAAGCATAATTGCAAAGCAAAAATCTTATTCTATTACTCGAAATAAGCAATGTAATTATGAAATCTAATAATTTGTCTTATAATAAATAATAATATTGAATGATATCGCTAAGACAATCCAGACCCAATTATTTATTCGTCGAATTTATTATTTCTTGGTCTTTGAATATTAACTTCTTAATATAATTATAACATCAATATGTCTGCAATATATAAATGTAAATTTAATAAAATATCAATATAATTTAAAAATTAGATTTATTTTTAATCAGATTTAATAATATTTATATTTCTAAAATACATATTGTGCTTTCCCAAATTTAATTTTAATTAATCTTCAGTATCATAGCTTTCACGAACATCTTTAACTTTTTAATCTGTTATCAAATAAAACCGGATTTTACTTCTATATAGTTCATTCGGAGTTTGTAAGCTAAAATATTTATTAACTTTGCTTCACCGTTCATATCCGTGTAGCTGTGAATTACTTCATAACTGATTTAATACCCAACTCCCTCGTGCAATGATGTTGGCTCAAACCTTTAGTAACTATTATTTTCAGTAAAATGTTTTTTTTTACAAATTATTTATGCGATAATGAGAAAATTTTTATCTGATTATTTTCTATAAATATTGTATGTAGAATAAACAGAATATTCGCTGTATAATAACAATAAAATAATTATAAAATGACTATAAAAAAAAATATACCGAAAACAATACAAAGTATATATAAGTAAAAATAAAGTAAAGTAAGAAATAAGTAAAGTAGAAGTAATATAAAATAAACTATAGAATAAAGTAATAAAAACTTCTATAATAATATCAATGCAAATATCTTATTGTTTATAGAAATATGTAAAAAAAATTTTATAATTCTATAATTCATCATATATATTATGTATATCTTAATAAAAAAAAAAAATTAACTAAATGAGAACTCATTGTTTTTCATTATCATTGTGTCAAAATTGTAATGCATTTTGATTCATATGAATTGATTTTTTCATATGATATTTGATAACCTATAATATAACTTAAAATTCAAATAATGTACAATTTATTGTTAAACATATTAATTTATTTGAGCATTTATTTAAATGTACAATTTTTAAGGGCAAATCAATAATTGCAAATTATTTACCTATATACGTTTTCAGGGATTTATTCACAATACATATAATATCTTATCATCATTCATGGGAATTTACTCACTTAATATGAGTACGAGAATTTAATATTTAAAATATTTTTACTTATTGAATAATTATAACACATGCAATAATCAAGTTATTTTATAACAATTTATCGATGTTAATTTTTGTCTTAATTAAAATAAATATAGTTAGAGAACAAGTGTTTTGCAATTATGTATTTCATCGTAATCAAAATATAGCTAATTCTATAATTAGATCCGAAAACTGAAATATTGATAAATGACACTAATTATCATTTAAGACGAAAATCAATTATTCAAATGGGTCTCTTTAATACGATTCTTGTCATCTATTTTCTTTTCTGCAGTATGCTTACAATTCTCAAGCTCTATAAGCCTCTTAGAGACTGACTTATCTTCTCTAAACGTGTTATTAATTCATTATATGTAAAATTACCCTCCAAGGCATTTTGAAACTTACATTCACCCCAAATCCTTGGAGAAACTGTAAAATTGTCTATTAAATTAATATTTGTTTAATTATGTTCTTAAATTTTTCCACTTTTTAAATTTATACTTTTTAAAAATAATTATGGATTATTATATGTACTTATACAAGAATGTAAAAATATATTTGTAGTAATTGGAAATTAAAATGCAAAATAAATAGAAACATGACCGTAAGAATAAAATAAGGAAATTAAAAGGTTTTTTAATATGGTGAATAAATCATATACAATTGATTATAATATTTTAGATTTGAAAGAAAATTTAATAAAGAATAATAAAGTGTAATATAATTGAATACGCTAACAATTATGCTAACTATGTATATGTAAATACAAATAAAATAAGACATTGATTTTGAAAAAAGTGTGAGGATATATTGAAAGATTTAAATTTTCAGTGCTAAAGAATATAAATCAGTTTCTTTGTAAGCATAAAGCGCACTCTGTGCCATAAAGAAGAATTTTTAAATATAAATATAAATTTTTCATTCACATTATTAAATTAATAATAAATTACATGATTTTATTAATAAAAATATATAACTGCTTCTAAAAATTTTAGAACTAGTTTTGAACAATTACTTATTAATACAATAGAAAACATGACTTTTCAATTTTATGAAACAAATATGTTAAAATGCATTAAATAAATTCTTGAAAAACATTTCTCCGACTAGAATTATTGTCTGAATAAAATTATTATTGCAAAATGTTCTTTAGTAAAAATTTAACGTAAAGTATAGTGATAAAATACAGTAAAATTACTTGGAAGCTAAACAAAGATATCACAGCTATGTAATTTTTATACATAAACTAATTTCTTTTATAAATTCAATAGAATTAGTTTGCGACAACGCTACATTAATTACATTATCAGAATTATTTAATGATTCTTTACCGAGCTATTAAGTATTTGTAATTTTAATTTCAAATTTATTATCTCGTCATATACTATTCATAAGTTTTATCTATTCTGAGAAATGAAGATAGTAAATCGTTGCTAAAATCACTTCATTTTATTCATTTTATTATGTTGACATTCAGCTTTCTTATGATTATATATAAAACTTAGATGAAGAAAAAACATTTCGAAATAAGTTAACACAGAGCTGATGGACCTTATAAGCAATTTATGGTCATAATTAATAGACATCGCTTATTTAAAGCATCTCGATTGCTCGAGATATACTCCCAAGTAACAATGTCACGCAGTAATGTCAGGTCAATCAGCTCCGTCCTTCCGCGGCTATCTCCCCCCTCCCCCTCCCCACCCAATCAAAGTACACACGAGGAAATATGTTGGGCAGGTCGCCTGGATAAAATCAGATTCTCGAGCAATCCTGGCAATGCACACACATATGGTGACACCGAACCCTAGACTGTCCGTCACTCACAATGGCCACAACACGTGGAAGCTCCATGTCGTAAACGTGCAACCCGATGACTCAGGCACATATATGTGCCAGGTTAACACGGAGCCAATGAGGAGCCAGGTACACCGAAACTGATTAGCATGAGTTATTCCCCCGAGTACATATAGCCTAAGGGTGTAGGCGCCTCCGGCATACTGATCCCTCGATACCATCTGCGTAACGTCGCTCACCTTGCGAAACGCCATTAGAGCTAGAAAATTTCTGCACGGGTTTCGTTCACTCTTTCTTCCTACACAATTAGCATAGGAATGAACAGGTGTTTCTGGACTAAGAAATGTTCAAATTTAATATGTATAATGATGTTAAATTATTTTCTGCCAACACCCGGTACTTCTTTTAATGATACTATTAATCAAACAATATTTTACAAATTTTTAATCTGAAACATTGAAGGTTTATCGGTACAAATTCGTTCTGCAGCTTCGAATTTTTTCTTTTGATTGATTAAATATGAAGAAAATATTAGTATTTGAACAAACAAAAATAAAAAAAAATAAAAAAAACATTAAATAAAACGTAAAATAAAACATAAATTACTAATATTCTACGATAATATAATATATCCGATAATAATAAAATAATATCAATTTAACTTAAAACTATTTTTAAGCATATTTAAAACTATTTTAATTTCTTATGTTTCGCTTTAATGTATTAAATATAAGATTTTATATTAAATAAAATAACTTTACATCTAGAATAAATTCAACCTTTAAAACTTTACATTCTCTTTGCTTAGTCTAAAATATAATTCTTGAAAATATTTAAGTACATAACCATTTATTATAGATTTTTTAGAAACGATGAAAAAAGATAAAATAATTCAACAAACTTTTAATTGAATTTATTTGACTTCGCTCTCGTTTTTTTATTTCGAATTTTTAATTGATCTAATCGATAGATTAATTTCGATAAAAGTTAATAGTAAAATTTATTAACACATTAATTAATTAATGATATATTTAATAATCTTTATATATTTATATAATGAAATATTTAATAATCATATGGATCAAAATAAAAATTTTATATTTAAACTATATCAATTTTATTATTAAAACGTAAGAATTTATGTATATAGATATTATCTCTATGGCTTATTAGATGTCAAGAGTATCACATATTCCGTGATCATTTGGTGCAGATTTAAAGTTCAGTTGAAATTTTTAGTGCAAATCATTTTTTAAGAACAGTATAGAAAAACGTGATATTGAAATTTAAATAACTTATTGATTATATATTACAATGTTTTGACATTATATATTATGTCTCTACGATAAGTAATGCAATATAAAATAAATACAACAATATTAAACATATTCGTTAAAAAAAAAAAAAAAAACTTAAATATGCTTTGAAATGACAATAGAACGTAATGTTTTATAGGATAAATTTTGTAGGAAAAAATTTTACCGCCATCTGATAAATAGATGACACAAAATCGAATCTTTTTGAACTTCATCTTAATTAATAAAATTCGTTTATCATTATTTGATTCCATAAACTCTTTCTCGCCTCTACTGGCAATTAATCGTGCTCACATTGATAAATCTTATGAAAGCGTATGTAATATATGCTTTGTACAAAGTCAAATATTATCTAGCTAATATTAATAAGAGCCACGATGGGAGACTCTTTGCTGTGTTCTAAAACGACTCGACTGCATTGGTCGTTAATATGCCTATCTTTAAATTAACGATACGTCCATTAAAGGCAAAGACATTAATACGTTGTTCAGGCTGCATCGAAAAGTAACCGAGACGGAAGAAAAATAATGAGTCGCGCGCATAACCGATTTTCTCGAGCCAGCAGATCGGGCACATGAAGGTCGTAATACCACCGGACATAATAGACGTGGAGGACTCGAGCAACCGACTAACGAGCATCGAGGGAGGATCCGTGAGGCTGCGTTGCCGAGCAAGTGGCAGCCCCAAGCCCGAGATCACTTGGCGCCGGGAAGATGGCCGTAGCATCATTATACGGAGTGAGAACGAACGCGCCTTGGGTAAGTCTGGTGATAATTATCGGTGCACTTTAGACAGTCTTTAGGACCTGTTTACGCGACTATCTTGTAAACACCAATGTACGCGTCTGTTTAGCAAAATAATTGTATGTTGTATCGTCACGGTATTAACATTTACATGCCATTAACTTGAAATATTTTAACTGATTCGAACAAGATTGTAAAATATTATTATTTATATTCATTTGTTTTTGTTTTTGATAGAATATTATCATTAGTTAATTTTATGATTCAAATGACTTTGGAATAACTCATAATAAACAGTTGATCTTCATCCTAATGTACGGCCAGCACTGCATATAATATGATAAAAAAAATGCAAATTATAATACAGGAAAATTAACATATTATGTAATAGATTTATATATATATGTATATATTTAAATAATGTGTATAACTGAATGTAATTAATAATAGAGCATAAATTTTTACGTGAATGAAATTAAATATGAGAGATGACATATCTTAACCTTAAAATCCTTCAAACTGAAATTATTTTTCGTGATTAAATCTAAAAATACCATTAGTCTTACAGTTTGTATGTTTACACAATAACATTATAGTTCTAAAAACTCGAATACTCGTTACAACAATAAAAATTATTTTAAAAATAATTAACTACTCTCATAAATGCCTAGAATATTCATTTTGAAACGAAAACTTCCATGTTTGATTTTAATTAACAACTACACATCTTTCTTATTTGCTTTATAACAAATACTGAAAGGACATCGGTAAATATAAACATAGATAACAGCACCAAAAATAGAATTCGTCGTAAAATACGAAAGCAGTAATTGGAAAATATACGCAAAAAGTAGAGGTCTGGCTATAAATATATTCGTGTTGGTTTTTCTTATAATTAATACATATCCTATTAATGGTCTACTTTTTCATTTGGATTTAATATTATTAGTTACGTAAAAATAATGTAGAACACTATTTGAAATACTGTAATTTAATTCGTTTCATTATCATTTTCTTTGCACGCATAATTCTCCCTCTCCTCCGCCCCCTCGCCACCTACCGTCATTCATTCATTCATTTATTTACTTCATTTAAGCATTTATTTACTTTATTACTTTCATTTATTTATTATTAACATTCATTTATTATTTACAGATATCGTCTTCTATGTTAATGCAGTCAAAGACTGAACGGCGAGGTGTTGGGCAAAATATAGGGCTTTGATTAGGGAAAATGGTGAAACCACCAACCCTTCCAAAAGTACAGCTCATTTGCACATTGTGCGTTGTGTTGGATAGTTCCAACCGCATTTTGAGATACCGTAACCGAAACTGTCCATTGTTATTTATATTTAATTCAGTGATTCATTTTCTGTCTAATAAAGTTTTCTATTATATACAGCCATAATTCATGGTTTATTTGAAATATCGAGTTCATTAATTTAAATATAAATAGGTAAACCATTATTTACTTGAATATTGAATGTAAATTATACTAATGCATATATATATATATATATATATATATATATATATACAATAACTCTTTTGATATTATGTAACGATTAGTCATAATTTTAAGATAGAATATTCAAAAACAAGTGAAATTCACTTCTAATTTGTAATTCATTTTAGTTTCATAATTAAAAAATCAGTAATGTATTTTTGTATTTTATCACCCCTTGGTACATTGGAAAAGTATGAAAGTGTCATCTTTTTTTATCTTCGTATATTCTTCTTTCCTAATTCAAATAATTTTTCCGTGTCGTTTGCGCAAAGACATTTAATATATTTTATAACAGACAAAAAACAAATTAAACAAAAAAATTGTTTCCCCTTTTTTATCATTAATTTTAGTAGAACATAAAACATATCTCCTTGAATTTATATAAACTCAACAGCTTCTTCGTCTTAAACGTAAAATTCTCGCTTAATTTTTCTATTATATCCTCTTAAAATAGTCATTGTTTATACTTCGATTAAATTTACAAAATAATATTTGCCTAATTATTAGAATATTAATGTAATAATATTTTCAAAATTAATATACTTGTTCAAAAAGTGCTAACGAACTATAAAAAAGACTGTTAAACGGCAATTCATTTAATATTAAAAATAACCATTATAACATATGTTTCAATTTATTTAAAATTACAATTAAGTATATTTAATAAAAAAAAATCATTTCTATTTAAAAAGTATCATTTATAATAGGTATAAAAACAGTTTAATATTCCACTCTCTTTTATAAATATTTAATATAATATTCGATAATTAATATTTTGGACAGTACAGTAAGTATTAAAAATTATACATATATAATTAATTTTACATAACAGCTGCCAAGTAATAACAATACCACTGACATAGAATATCATTAAAAAAACTTATAAATTAAAAATGTTATTAATATAATATTAATTAAACGAGAAATTATTCTCATATTTGGTAATAAATTTATAGTAATACAATAATATTAACTATTAATATTATTAAGTGGAATTTTTTATAGTATTCGATGTAGAAATAATTTTTTAAATATGAACAATTATATTTAGTATAATATACACACTTCGATTTTAAAAAGAATTTAATAGTTTTATAAATGTTTTCTTTGTGACTGGTAACAAGAAATAGAGAAAAATATTTGCAATAAAAATATTTTATTTTTCTAAGAATAACAAAAATTAAAAATAGAGATTAACAACAAAATGTACGAGTTAAAAATAATATAAATTATATTAATAGTTTTCGAAATTGCGAGAATCCATCCCAAGTCGTTAAATATCTGCCAAAATCCAATCATTAAACATCTGAAGAACAAGTCGTTAGCCCTTTGGAAAACCCAGCTCATTAGGCATCTGTAAATAGTCGTTACATCCAAAATTTTAAATCTAATGGTACATAATCGCATCCACTGATGTCAAGTTCAGCTATATCGCCGCTTGTTAATTGACGGCGCTGCCGCTAGAGGCGCTTCAAGGGCGCTCCAAAAGTGCTCCAAAGGTTCTCCATGTAGAAATGCCGAAGCCGTAAGGCTCCGATTAGAGATGCCAAGATGACAAGACTCAAACTCATTCTTCCACACCACAAACAGATTGGAGGATATCAGTAACAAGTTACTACCACTACACGAAGAAGTGTCAATAGATTTACGACCTCTTACCTCTCAGTGTAATAATCTACAATTCCACTCCACTGTTATTCTTTTCTAATACTACATAACGAATAAGAAAATTCCAAACCAAGAGAAGAAGAAAACAAGGGAAAACAGAAATCCTGAAGTGACTATCAATCAAGAACGGGAAGAACGCATAACCCGTAGCGTCACTGAAGAACGATAATCAATGGAACACATGCTCAAGGCTCAAGGCCAGTGGAATCTCATTACAACTATAAAGGAGCTTACTCGAGGGATCCCGGCATCTCATTTAGAGACATCCATCAAAGAAGTTCTATGCATTAGGGACCTGATTGACGACCTATACAAAACATAACAAGGCACATAGCTATCTTGAGACAATAAAAATCATGACTACTTTAAGAAGAACGAAGAAGAAGAAATCAAATATTATTCCTTATCGCAAATAGCCATGACAAGGCTATGTAACGAATTTGATGAATCAACATGGAAACCCACAAAGGCTGATGAAATATTGCCCACGATGGTACAAGCAAAGTAAGTGACCCTGTCTATCCGATGCACCAATTTCGAAATTTTATTTAAATCAATAATCCTGAACAGTCAAAAACTCAGTGAAGTACAAAAACTGTATTACCTCCGAATATCACTAGAAGGCTCAGCAGCCAAGATCATCTCGAGTTTCACATTACAAAATGACTCTCTTGCACTGGCATGGGAGAATCTAACATAACGATATGAGAACTCCCGCCGATCAATGAAATCTCATTTTAACGAACTCGTCTCTAAGTCATCAACAGACAATTCGACAACAACAGAGTCGATAGAAGACCTAATTAGTGATGCAAGTAACTTGCTAAAAAACTTGCGTCAGTCAGACATCGAAACTGACCCATGGGATTGCATAGCCGTTCACCAAATCACATAAAGACTTAACCAGCACACGAGAGATCAATGGAAAAACTCAATGGGTGACTCCAGCTCGTACCCCAAGTTCGAGCAACTCAAAACGTTCCTGCTGTCTCGAGTAATGGCTCTGGAAAAATGAAATAGTCCTCGAACACTAGTCGCCCAGCTCTGTCCCGTTCATCAAAGCCTATGAGTCGTCAGTTAACACTGTATCGAAGGGCCTACGAGGAGACCCCAAGAATGACAAGATGTGCAATTGCTGTCAACTGGAACATTTATTGCCGATTGCGGAATAAAAGAGTTTCGTAAGTAACTTACACTTGTGTTACAACTGCTTGGGTCCTCACACCATTTACACGTGCAGGAGCAAACGCAATTGCACGAAGTGTGACAAATGGCATAATGCACTACTGTATGACGAACAAATCGCGATTTCAAGCAACGCAAGTCACAGTTCATCAACGCTTTCTTACAAGGCCGTCCAAGGCTCACAAGAAGCCGTCTAAGAAGGCCTTTCCAATACTAGTACTAACTGAAGCTATCTGCTCTTAGTTTGATGGTCTTAGTCTAATTCTAAACATTTTGGTCATTCGAGCTAGATGAATGGAATTCTGAACAAATAGCTCTAATAAAGCAAAAGTTTCTAAATATGATTAAGTAGTTATTTAATTTAATATTTAGACTTATTTTTAATATTTTCATTAATAAGTGTAATATTTAAATCTTTACGTACATACTACTGAATTAAGCAATTCAGTTTTACAGTAAAATTGAAGAATAAATTAGCAAGAAATTATTCATTAAATTAAATTATAAAGTTACTAAATTATTTCATTAAGTAATGCATAATCTTTTCTTAATTAAAAAAATACTCTAACTAATTTTGTGTGAGCAATAAAAAAGACAATATATATATATAAATATATACGCAGGCGCGCGCGCGAACGTGTTATTATACTGTTAACCATGGATATTCTATTATTTATTAATATACGAATATACAAAAAATAATTATGACAAATACCCTACATATCATCTCTTCTTATATGTACATTACATACACATCCCCGTATTCAAGAAATAATTTGAAATATTTGATGGTAATGATAAGACATGTAATTCTGATGTTCAATTTCTATTATATAAGTTCTAAAAAAAAACGTGCCAAATTGATAAATATAATTATTATTATAAACTATGGAATAAAATTTTGATTTAAAATTTATGATAAATTGTAGGTATATATACTTATATTTGTGCATATTGTAAATAAAACTTATGCATATTAGATTCTATTTTACCAGACTATATTTTTACAATAACAGATATTTCTAATATATGAATCGAATGATGCTTAACACATTTAAAGATAAAGATTCAAAAATAAATTTTTAGTGTGCGGTTATTCGACAAAAATTTTGTATTGTATTCAATGATTGTTCACCTTAATATAAAATATATACACATATATATATATATGAATACCATTATCCTATTTATCATTATTCACCTTCGTTAAATCTATGAATAATTGATTGTTTTATAAAATTTAAGATTTCACAATTTATTAATACTTAACGCATTCGTGTTTTACTAAATAATACCCAATAAACACTGAATATATTATGTGCATATATTGTGCATTATTTTTTAATCAATAAATTTATATTTAGACTCAAAAATAAAAAAATCTACGCTTATATTCCCAATAAAAATTGGTACCATTTTAATATTTACAATTACAATGTTCCATTACGACAAATAAAAATAAAACAAAAAATTGATAATAAGAAAGAAGAAAATAATATTTTATTTATTTAATTTTTACCTTAAGTTAATTGACTTTTAATTATATTAATTTTATTAATAAATATGTAAAATATAGTTTAAAAAATATATTAAATTTTAAACCTTTTAAATATTATTTAAATTTCACTGATACAGAATATGGACGAACATTATGTTTTCATTTTCAAATCTTGCATTTAAAATTAATTGAAATGAAATGAGAAAATAACCATAAATATTTTCTAAATGGTATAATTTGCTTTTATTTACCCATGTAATAGGTATTGGAATAGTATTTTAAAACAAAATTCTATTAAAAAGTTTGATTGGTCTTTGTTAAATAAAGATTCAAAAATTCGAATCTCAATACATAATAACATTGATATTAAATACACAAGACCTAGAAAAATACTGTTACATAAATACGTACAAAATGTAATAAATTAATACATACTACCTGTGTTACTGCAGAAATTTCAATTGATGAAAAAATAATAATCTTTATTTCTTTAGTTATGAAAAAAGTAAAGAGTTAGCATTCATACATTTTTTTCATAATAAACGAAATAGCAAATACTCAAATCGTATTGAGATTATTTCTTTATACCTTCGTATTTTGACATTTTATCGATTAATGTACAGTTTTTTGCATCGATTGGTTGATATAAAAATATACTGTATACAGCTAGCGTTTAATGCAAATCGTTAGAAAAGGAAAATAAAATTAATTTTGCCAACCTTTCTGATTAAAAGATTGATGAATATTGAATCTCTTTCTATCTTTTAAATTGCAACACCCATACATCCACGGGAATAAATACACATGCATAAGTGCAACTTTGATGGAAGACTGGCGTTCGATCTCCTTCATTGTCAAGTAGAAATAATAATACATACAAATAGAAATAATAATATACATCGAAAAGCCTTTATATACACTTGTGCACCTATTATTATAGGAATTAATGTATACTAACATCACACGATGTCACACTAGCCCATTCGCTCACTCGTGCACTAGCACACACCCATTCTCTGTAGCATTTTTTTTTCCTTCTATTTTCTATGAACGGAGCTACCACTTCATTTGATTTATGAGATATTACTTAACTACTATGTGTTTTACATCAAGCAGGTGTATGTATAATAAGACAGCGCCATGATTTATTCCTAAATTATATGTACACGTATACGACTCTCATACTTAATTGATTAGTTTTACATTAAATTATTTAATACATTATAAATATCATAAAATCTATTTATATACAAAAACTAAATAAATTTGCAATAAGAATTAGATTAAATAATACAAATATATACTTTTCAAATAATAATTTTTATATTTCAACATTAATATTGATCAATCAATATCAAAATCAATGCGTTTCGATATTTATTAAAACAAGTAGCTGCTGTAAAGATATAAAAATATGGTAAGGAATCAATATTCTTTAAATATTATTTAGCATTTGGAATTGATCAAATTACGGCAACATATGTAATTGGTCTTCAATAGCTTAAATTAAACTATTACATTTTATAGAAATATTACTTGCGCATAAAAAAATAATTATTAGTTTTATCACATGGTTTTATTAGTATACACGTAATAAAATGTAAACTTGTAGATACCATTAACCATAATTAAGTAGATAAGTAACCAAAAACATTATTCCCCATCCTTTTATTTTCATTATAAATTTCATAAAAGAAAGTAAAAATATCAAAACCACTATTGCTTCACGTAGTAAACTATGCAACTCGGTTTACTCTTAGCAAACTTATGCTATACTGACTTATCAAAGATATAGTAAACTTTCACACAAATCCAATGAACAATGGTATTCGTTTGTCAATGTCATAGCCATGATTGCACTCCAACATATGCTCGCACAAACAATACATTTATGCGATGAACGAATAAGATTACTGAAGTTGAAGTTATAAGAATACATGCATATATATCATACATTATTTATATGCATAATTTACATTTATATTACAACAAATTTTTACTTATATCCTAAATATAAATGACTTTCCTTTATATTTCTATGTGTATGTGAAAACTATATATAAAAGAATTTTATATATAAAAATATTAGAGGTATAATTTTATATAGAATTTTTAATTAAGTACACAAATTTATAAAATAAAAATGGCCAATTAAAAATATTAATTTATTGATCATTATTTTTATACAAATTTCAAAAAGCCTAATAAATTTCCATTTTTTAGTCTATAAAATAAATTTAATATAAATTTAAATATAAATTATATAAATAAATATAAATATAAATAAATATAAATATAAATATAAATTTGCTTCGTAACAATTTAATAATTAAAATAATTAAAGATGAAACATAATATTAAAATAAATATATTAAATTAAAAAATGTGAAATATCGATTTACTATAAAATACAAAATGATGACGTTATGAATAAAAATGAGAAATAATATTTGCTTCTAATATAATCATATTTTTAACTTATTGTATGAACAAAATTTTTATATAATAAAATTAATCACATATGTTTTATTTCAATTAAACTAATAATTTTTTATTTACATGTTGAAAATTTAGTATTTTTGTAAACTTTAGAAAGTCAATGATTTTTTTTATGTAAAGTCACACGACAAAAATCTTAGCCCAAGTAGTACAATTATTTTTAATTGAATTATTATTATTATTAATTAAATTCCATATATGTTTATTTTCCTGCTTTATAATAGGCTTTTCGAACAATCACTAGATTACAGAAATTACAAATATTTGAAAAATACCATAAAACACTAATGTATACGTGGTCTTAAATAATTCTATTCCAATATTTTTGAACTTATAATGCTTTGAACAATTCGTCCTAATTTGTTTACATGGTACAAGGTAAACAAATAAACATTTATAAAATAAGTTTTACATAGCAATTATTGTATAAAATTTTCATGTAAATGACATTCAATTTATATAACTATTTTTATAATTATGCACGAATTAGCCATTGCCTCATTCTTTTCCCTGAATAATTTCAGTTATACGAACATATAAGAATGAGAATCTGTATTTGACTGGAATCCTTAGACAGGAGATGGGCTCATACTTATGTATCGCATCAAATGGAATACCGCCTACTGTCAGCAAGCGTTATTACATTAATGTCCTTTGTAAGTTGAAGTGCGACTATTAGAATAATAGTTTAACACAATGTTCTTTAATATTGTAAATATTGAGAAAAAATTTAAGTAAATTTATATAATTAAAAAAAATTAAGTTCTTTTAAAAACTTCTTTTAAAAACTTTCATTTATGTTTTAATTAAATAATAAGTATTGTATAAAAAAAAATTAATTCATAGGGCTATCAAGTTAAATACTTAATCGAGGAAATTACATGTAAGAAATTACTTTTCTTTTCTGTGACATTATTGAAAAGTTATTTTATAACTGTATAAATATTTTTAATTAAATTTAATTTCACATTTGAACATTAATAATACATTCATACAATTAATTCTGAAAAACATAATACAAATTAAAAATACCACTTCATTTTTATATTTTCCATAATATTAGGTGATTTTATTTCTAGTTAAGCCTACGATAATAATAAAAAATCAAATAGTATTTGCACGTATAAATCACAACGTCTCTTTGGAATGCTACATAGAGTCTTCGCCAAAGTCATTTACGGTGTGGTACACGGAAAATGGTAATTACAAAAATGCACATAAATTTAATTAAAACAATATATTACGCATTTTCAAAGATTTTTTTTTCTACTTTTAAATATCAGGATAAATTAAAATTTTTTACATAAATAATTTAGTTACATTCGCGAATTGTCCACATTTTACTTTCAATAAATAAAAATCGTTTTATAAACAATAAATTCTTTTGTTGAATTGTATAAATAATAAATAATATAAATAATATAAATAATAAATTGTTTGATACAAATGATTTAATATAATGAATATAGAAATTGAATTAGAAATTAAATTCGGCAATGAACATAAGTTTTTTATAAAGAATGCAAAACAAAATTTTGAATTACATTATGCCACACATTTATTTTGACTTTTTTATTATACTTTTAATATATCATTTTTAAAAGTTATAAAATGTACAGGTCAAAAAATAGGGTTTGATGAAAAATATATAATATCTGAAACAGCAGTGGACGATTATACTTTTCAAATTAATTTAACAATACGAGGTGTTCGACCATCAGATTTTAATATATACACTTGTTTGACGGAAAACCCTTTTGGCAAGACAAATGCTGTCATAAAATTACGAGGTATTTTTTTTTCTTATATATATATATATATATATATATATATATATATATGCTATATGTAAAGAATGCTGACTTAGGGGTATCTATAAGTTATATCATAAACAAAATAATTTTATGCCTTTTTTTTTAAAAAAAGTTTCTATCATTAGATTAAATAAATATGATTTTGAAATAAAATAATTAAACGAAATATTGCTTATTTGTAATTCTTTATATACGCATTTAATTGCTTTATTTTACTTTAAATGCCATATTATTATTACTTAAATTTAATTTTTATTTTATTCAATTATTCAATAATTAATTTTCCGTTAATAATAATTAATGAAATTTTCAATTAATTCCACAATTTACATTCCAATTTTTCTTGATTTTACGAGCTTAATTTTTCTCCAACATTTTATCTTTGAATATTTTTTATACAACATAACTTTAGATTCTCATATATATTTTCATTTTTCTTATACAGTTGCTGTCTATCTTTGTATATATTGAATAATAAATGAATGTTCAGATACTTGTTACTATGACAATGTATTATTTTTATATTTTCTTTCATTATTCTTATAAATATATTTTAGACTATTTTTACTAAATTATTTTGAAATAGTCTTGTTCAATTATATAAAAGATTTTCTGTAAATTTAATTAAATATAAGATCTATTCAAATTTTCAACCTATTATAATGAATAAACAATCGTAGTTTAAAATTTTTTTAATACCTATGCTAAATATAATTATACATAAATCCATTTATTTTATTTAATATATATATATATATATATATATATTATTGATATTTACATCGAAATAATATTTTTTATTAATTTATACTTAATGCTTCAATAATACATCCTTAGATTTAACAAAAATAGTTGTCTTACATTGCACTATTTATTTCGTCTGTCATTTAATGTAATTGTACGAAAATTAAAGTATAATTTATAATATTCTTTAAATATTATAAAATTTTATGATGAATAATTTTTAATGTTATACTTTTTTTAATAATAAATAATCATAACTTGTAAGTATGTATTTGAATATGTGCTTCACTTCAATAAATAAAGTATAGACTTTAAATTTATTTTGAATTATTATTTTTATACATATCACAAATAAGTATTACTAAGCTATCTATCCAACATATTAATTCCCTCCTCAATAAAGAGATTTTAATGACTCATATTGTGCATTTAATTATCATTTACAGAACAACGTATATGGAGAACTACAGTGTTGCCATTTCATTTTACTTCTGATAAAAAATCGATATTGAATACGCTAGAAAAAAGAATAACTTATAATGACCATAGTTTAAGTAATAATCTGTCGGAATTTCACCCAGGTAGATTAACGCCATTATTAAAATATAATGGCATATTAGTAACCAAAAATAAAGAAGACCATTGGAATATTACCAAAACTTCAGATACTTACTATGGTTCAACTGATTTTCCAGGATCATATTATCTCAATAGTGGAACATCAGCGATTACTAAAAAACGAATTGAAAAAATTTTCATTATATACATTATTATTTTTGTCATGATTTTAGGTTGAGGAACTACACAAGTAAAATCTATTGTATAAAATTGATTATCACATTTAAAAAATGTACAAATTTTTTGCCCGAAATGATGTTATCGATATCAATAAATTTTTATAAAAAAAATTGTATCTCTTTTATGATATGAATTTGTCAAAAGATCTAAATATAAATTTGAGGGCCTAAAATGTTTGTATCAAACCAGTTAGTACGTAATATTACTATGTAATGTATTATTATAATTTATTATATTATTATAATAATTTTCCTATACAACAAAATTTACAGTATTTCTGCTAATTCAGATTAATACATATCATATTCATATTCATTTATTTATGTAGATTTTTATTAATATTATGTTATTAAAATAACTGGCAAAATATATATATCTTCCTATATTTATTAAAACAAAAATTATAAATATATAACAAAAAGTATTATCTAATTTTAAAAATTTTTATAAATTTTTCCCTACTGTACTATTATTCCTTAATTAGTAATTATGAATAATAAAAATTCTATTATATTTCAGATATTATTTCTTATATATGAATGTCATATTATTTTAATGCTACATTAAATTTTAAATATAATATATAAATTGCAAATAATATTAAAAATGTTGAATAGAAAATATAAATAAACTTCATTACTATTTGATTTACATAATTAAATGAATTTACATACTAGGATACGATATAATATTACCAATGCATTGTTTTAATCGTTTAAATTATGTTTACTTATATTTCTTATTATTATTTTTCTTTAATTTTGTGCGCGCGCGCGAGTTCGCAGAGTTACAATACATTCGAAATATTAGTCACACTTATTTTATTTTCTATTCGTTGATGAAAAACAAAAAATGAAATTCATTATTAATGAATTAGCACAATTTCATTTCTAAATAAATAATAATAATCGAATCGTAATTTGTTTGAATGATTATAATATATACGTAATAATATTTTTCAAGTAGTTATTGTTTTATGATAATAGACCTTTGTATACAGATATTCAATACTTAATCAAATTCAATTAATAAAAAATGTAATTTAATGCTTTAGTTGTCAAGATTAATTTATAATTTTTTAAATGATAATAAATAATAAATCAAATATATTCAATAAAAAAATATTTTGAAATGTTTAATGCTTTTATTCCATAAGTTTTTAAATACGCTAAATTTACTAATCTCCATATGTCAACTTCTTTCGATTCATTATATGTAATTATATTACTTACGGTATCATCTTCATAACAGTAGTATGAAATAATTAAATTTGCAAGCATCAGTTTTATAACTTAGAGTATTTTCCATACCGTTGATTTACAAGTTTTATAATTCTATCTCCATTCCAATAATTATAACCTTCCATCATCGATATAAAAATTGCTACTTTCGTAGCATATATAAAAAAACTTCATAATGTAATAATTGTTGAATTTCATTATTACACAGCATATTATAATATCACGAGGCCTGAGAGCCAAATAATAATAATTCATTTATAAATATTACATGTCTTAAAACTACACGAAATTATACGTTAAAGTATTTTGAAATAATATCATTGAAATGTAAAAATTTCATTATATTGTAAAAATTGTTTGTTTTGATAACTTAATAATACCTTTTCAACGTTTTTTCGTCAACGAAATGATTAAAAACAATCGAAACTTTGTGTGCACAATTAAAAGAAAGTGAAAATTGGCTAAAATGAAATTTAGTATTAATTTAACCTATCTAACTCAATTTAACGCTTAAAATAATGTTAAATAAAAATGAAAGTTCTTATTCCAAGTTTTTATAATAAAATATTAAAATTATAAAATAATACAAATCTTTCTTTTGAGAAAATTCTTTTAAAATGTAATTTACTATCTACGAAAGGCCTCTGATAATCTTAGTATGCAGTATTTACCCCAATGAATAAATAACACATAATATTAATAATTATATAGTTTATACAAAAAAAAAAAAAAAAAAAAAAAAAATCGTACATACATTCTCTACTAATTGACCAAGTTTTATCCTTTTATTAATTTACGATTGTAAATGAAAAATAGGTCGTTTCAAGTAAATACATTAAAAAAATTATAATAAGAAATATGAAATTTTAGTAATTAAAAAGGATAGAAGAAATTCACAAATTTTCATAATTAGATGAAAATATATTATATACTTGATTCCTTCATCAAATTCACATTATCATTGAGTGATAAATTTATCTAAATATTTCACGAATTAACGCTTTATTGTATACAATTAATGAAATATTAAAAGAATCATATTCTATGAAATAGTACTATAATATTTATTATGTTATTATAAAACAAATACTTTAATATGCACAATTAACACGAGAATTTCTTACGAGCATATTTTTTTTTGTACGGAATGCTATGCATTCATGAAATGACGAATATAATGTAAGTAGAAACAAAAGGAACAAGTGATAATCTTATGACTATTAAGCACTACTATTTGGTATTATAAATGTAAACGCACAAACTTTTAAAAAATAATAAAAGTAGTGTCTCAATATAAAACTATTATTACCCACCAGAATAATGACCTCTAATTATATAATAACAAATAATTACTACAAATTTATTAAGAATTAGCTGAAAATAAGAAACTGGATGTTCGCATAAATCTAATTGTTGCAACCACATATCGTTCACCTACCCTATTATTAAATAACGAACATCGAGAAAACTTATAAAACGCTCGTCGTATATCCAAATTAACATTGTAAATATACTTATCGTTAGCACAAACAAAACTTATTTTCTCTATTATAACATAAAAGAAAATGAAGACCACATATGCGTACAAATATATTTTTTCATTCGATTTTATCCCCACCCCGCTTCCCGTCAATTTTTCCACGTTTATGCTTACGTCATGCTCCGTTGCGTAAAATAATTAAACCTCATATTTACTAAAATGGTATACATTTCACAATATTATAAAAATATAATCGTGCGATATTCAAAAAGTACATGTAAATGTAAATAGTAATTTTGTACCAAAATAAGGTGACCTAATGAACGGATTATTAGAGTAATAAAGAAATAATACAATGAGATAATGACGGTAAGCTAAAGAAACAGCTGTGAGCAACGAATGAAGGAATGGTGCAATCAGCCTAGATCTTCCAAAGTCTATACTTGGCATATATACCCAAACTAATCATTGATGTAATGCATCGGACTCTATTGATATGGGGTGAGCAATTAACAGGCAAACCTCATCCACCAACGAGGGTTATCAATGAGCAATTATAAATAACCTCAGTTCAAATTTTATATTAACAAAGAGCGTCTGTATACTTAAAACGGCGGTACCTATTTACCAGCAGAATACGACAATTAAAAGTCGATCGAGAGTAAGAGTCGACATTTTCCAGTTGCCTACAGACAGAGGCAACAAAGTATTTTTTTTTTCTTCATTTCACAAAAGATAATTATATTATTATTTGATTCTATTAAACCTTTAAAATTATTACTCATTCTCTCATCCTCGCATTTTAATATTTTTGTTTCGCATAATCTGATATATTATAATATATTCGGTTTAGCTTATCATTACGTTATCACAAATTCGTTGAACAATAAAAGATATGAAACAGATATGAAACAATAAATACTGAATAATATTACGTTATACTCATAATATATTTCTTAATATATAAATATTACATATTATTCAGTAATAATGAAATTGAAAAGAAAAAAAGGAGCATTAAATTACTGTGACTGAATAATGAACAAATAATTATAATCTTTGAGTAGCTCCGTTAATTTATATTAAATTTAATTTATATCAAGTTTCTAATACAACTCACATTTACTTAACATTTAGTTGATCCTTTTATCGACATTTCAAAATGTCACTTTCTCAAAATGTGCCAAAAATATATTATAATTGATAATAAATAGTACATAACAAACATAATTAACAATCCGTTTCAATATACATGATAATTTATTTAAATATTGAAATGATCCGTCAGTATAAAAATATTCAATAACACGTTATTATAAACGTGCCGATTAAAATATTAATTAATTAATGACTGTGGATTAATAAAAATAATTTTTCAAAATATTTCAAACTGACAAACAATATAAAATATGCAGGAATAATCAAGAAATTTTTAAATAATTTATTCAAATTTCAATAAATTATTAAACAATTAATAATTTATTAAGAATTAAAAACCTAACAATGTAATTCAAAGGCTAAATTTCATTCGCAAGTTTTTTTAATTAGAAATTAATTTTAGTTAACGAAAACTTCATTTATATAATTAACTCTTGCCTTAATAGCTCTTCAAATTTGAACTATAATTTTTATCATAGCAAAGTTCTTCTCCATTTAAAAAAGTTATTGTTGATGATTTAAAAAAAATAAATCGTAATAAAGCAATGATTTTCGCTCCGAGTCATCTTCATTTTGATAAATAAAATTAAATTTTCCCTGATTCCACCAAAAATTTATTAAAATGATTATTGCCGCTCGTGCAGCTAATAAAACATCCGAATATACCTAGAGTGCCTTATTTCTAACCTGTCCAAAACATTTCTGACGCAGTATCAGCGTATCTTACAGTCTTAAGGATAGCAGTGTGTCGAAAATTATAAGCTCGAGCTACTTTGCTGTGCTGCTCGATGATACTCGCCAATGAGAATAGCGAAAGCAGTTTCGACATTAGAAGTAGTAATAGCTGAGATAGCAGCAGCAACAGCAACAGCAACAGCAACAGCAGCAGCAACAGCAATAGCAATAGCAACAGCAACAGCGACAGCGACGATAATAACGACGAGGAGAAGGAGGCCGACGACAGCATAAGCAAGTTAAAGTTCCACATACCGACGCCTATAAAACAGCATGCAGTCGTTAGCATTGCTCTGTTAAATTTCAACATTCGATATCGAGAGGGTATTCCATGAAACAAAAAACTGTTCTTCGAGCAGCAACGTACCGCGAAACAGTAGGTTAATTGGAACTTTCGAAACTTTACGTAGCTGAAAAAGTGGCAACATAAAGTAAGAAAATTCAATACGGTCTGGTACGTTGGCTACAATTTTTTCTGACTACATTGCCGAGAACGTGACCTGCTGCTAATGGCGAATCAGAATAATTGACGATTCAGAACTCGAAAGTAAAAAGAGGCAATAGCCTTGAGTTATGAATTTAAGTTTATTTGTTATTCAAGTTTGTGTATGGTAATAATCACGCAACAGGCAGACATCTACTTGGATTAAAAATCCAAACATTGGACAAATACATAAAGTTTTACAGTGCTCTATATCCCAACTCTTCTCTCTCTCTCTCTCTCTCTCTCTCTCTCTCTCTATCTATCTATCTATCTATCTATCTATCTCTCTATCTCTCTATTCGTATGACTTTGCATCTGAATTCTGCGTGAGGCTTTCGCAGAAATTCAGTCGTGCTCGGCCCTTCGATTCATCGTATCTCATGAACGCTCTCATGCATCAAGTAGTAGTTAGAACGATAAGAAGAGGCAGCAGTCGTAATTGGAGAACATTTTCTTTGCTTAGCTCAGTAGCACCACTCGTACAGCAGGTAATGCGTAATTTAACCTTGACTCGCCACATTGTTCTCGACTTTTTTTTTTTTATGATACCGATTCCACATGTATTTAATGATATGGCAAATATAGGCTTAAAATGGTTATAAAATATCTTTATCGATGAGAATAATAAAGCATCTACATTCCACTCTAATAGCAAAAGTGATGTATTACAGAATTTATCATTCCAACTAATCGCTTGCAGTTAATTAATATCTAAGAAATCCAAATTATATTCACGTGAAAATATCGCATCACACAACACATTTACGTTTTTAGATATTTTATATCTATTAATAATTGGCTTTAATTTTTTTTTTTTATCTCGGTTGTTATTAGAGTAATCATAAACTGAATTTCAAAATATTAAAGTGTTTAACTTTATAAGTGTACTTCATAAAATTATACACCTTAAAACATTCCAAAATAAATTTTTAGGAATTTTATAATAATATTAATTTATTATTTAAACACCCTCTATAAATATAAGCTTTTATAATTGAACCAATTAATAATACCAAAATATTCTTATAATTTTTATAAATTTTATCAACATTTTATTATTTATTATTGTAATTATTAAAGTTAAATTCTATTTTTTACACAATTATACTCTATATAATTAATATTATAACAAATATTGTACAAAATAGTAAACTATAATTCAGGCTCCATTTCTTTTTGTCATTTGTTATCGAATATAGTATTTCTCAATGCTATTTTATTTAATACTTTATCATCAACTTAAATGTATTAAATTAGAAATAATTGATATTTTTATTTTAAATTTATTGTAAAAGTAATTCATTTATTTTTTAATCTTGTCATTATATAGACCGGTATAATAATAAATAGGATCTAACAATATTACATAATAGTTCGAAAAATTCAAAGAATTAAAATATAAAATTACCAAATTATAATTTGAAAATGAAGTTAATATGTTTGGTTATATTATTTATGGTTAAAATTTACAGTCACAATTAAACGATGTATATTAAGAATGTATTAAGAATATTGAGTTTTATTTTTGTTAAAATCTACATAAACGTAATCAATGATTATTGTATAAAAAATCAATTGAAATAAGAAAGAAAAATAAAAGAATAGTATATATAACCTTTGCTTTATAATTTAAGTTACATATTTGTATGCATATATTTTTATAAGTGAATGAATCATATATATATATATATATATATATTTAAAACATAGTAATCATAGAGTGATATTGTTAAATAATAAAGTATATTAAAATATCGTTGCATTAAAAGTTTTAGAAAATAGGTTATTTATGTGAGTAATAATAAAAATGAATGAGCTGTCATTTTGAATATTTTTATATACAAATTTTCTTAATTGAAATACATTTTGATAAAATCATCATAAAGTATTAATTTCATTATAAAAAACTTTCTTTGATTACATATTCTAATGAATTTAAAATTATTCTTATCTATTTCTTAATTATGTATGTCAAATTTTACCATAATAAAATTAATTTGAAAACAGCACTTATATTAAATAAAAATATCTAAATAAACAACAAATTCTATTTGATTAAAAATACATATTTAACGTATAATGAATACAATTGCCATAGTCATTATATTTTACCAACATCCCTCTATAATGTTTGTTTTCAAAATATATTGAGTAAAATATTGTGCATATCATGAGGAGGACGAGGAATGGCCAGTGACTTGTCCAGCAGTTGTACAGAAGTCAACGAGCTCTTCAACGATGAAAAAGAGGAAGGTGAGATATCCCTTGAAGATGTCAGCTCGTCTGAAGAGGGACAGCCATATATATATCCACCAAGAACATTTGAACAATGCCCATATTGTCTGTCAACAAAGCACTGTGCTATGTGGTGTAAAAGCCTGACAATTAATAAAAATAATATCAAGCGAGGTAAGAATTTAAAATATATATTTTTACTATATTTTGACTAAAAGAAAAATCCATTGTAAAAATAACATTGTTTAATTTTGTGATATAATTTAATAACTTATTAGTTTTAAATTATTTATTACATAGCTACTTTTGTATGAATTTTTAAATATTGAATACTAGTAAAAAATTACGGTTCTTATATAATCATACATTTCCAATGTATCCATTAATTAAGAATAATCGATTCAATGAATTTACCGTTGCATATTAGACTATTTAAATAACATATTTTTGCATAAATATCCATTATTTGAATAAATTTTGAAGAAAAAAAAATATTTTACTTCTAATAATACATAAAAATACTTTGAAAATAACATATCATAGCTCCGTTCATTAACTTAATAATATGATAAACCAGATGAAAAGCAATTAAAAACTTATTAAAGATTTATATTAAAAAGAATAAATTTATTTAAATAATATATTTGACATTGAAACTAGTACTTTAATCATAATAAATATTTTAATTACAAATAAATTTATATTTTTCATATATTAAAGATGATTATTTGAAATTATGAAAATAATAAAACAATATTTTCAATAAATATTGTACGCCAAAAAAGAATTCTTAAATTAATATACTATTCAAGCAAACATTCATCAAAATTATTTATAAAAACTTTTCTCTACATTTATACATCCCTTTTATATTGAATTAGGTCATTAATAAAATATTTGAAAATTGAACTTAATATCAAAATTTTTGTAATTATCTAGTCATTTTTATTTATAGATAATTAAATTTATACTATCATGGATTATACTGTTATATAAATTTTTAAAACAAAACGATGGAGTTAAAATTTTATTCAAATGTCAAAAATAAAAATATGTTATTCGCCATCATGTATTGTAATTTATGTATTATTGTAAATATTTTAATTGTTAATATCAATTGATATTTAATTTTGTATTTTTATGCAGTCAGAAATTATAATTAAAATTTTTTTTTTTAACAAATTAATAATAAATCTTTAATATACAACAATATTTTCAACGTTGTTCATAATACAATTAACAGTGATTTGTGTATTTTGAATGGAAATTAAAAACTAATGGTACATAATGCAAACATGTAAATGTTTCTTAAATTAACTTAACGCCTCTTTACTTCTTTAATTGCTAATGAACAGAAGCACATCCTGTTATTGCCAAAGATGCAGGCCTACAAGGGAAGGAAAATCGCAGTCGACGACATTATCACAAAGACATCATGGATTCTCGTATCTCCACCGATACGATCGGATCGAAAACAGCCAGCGCCTATAGTACCCTACAGGAAAAAAATAAAGATGACGACGCAACCGTCATTAGCGACCTTGTGCCCATCTCGAGTGATAGCGATATGGAACTCGTGGGCTTGGGTCACGATACCAAGTTGGAAAAGAGGTCACGCCGATCAATTAAGTCTAGCAAAACGCGAAGAAGACGACGTAACAAATCACCATCAGTCGCCTCATCATCGCTTTCGCCATCTTCAATCGATCTCACTCTCTCCATTAAAGACTCTATTCACAGACTGGAACCAATTCAGCTTGTGTCCAGTAAAAAGGAGAGCATCCACTCAAAATGTCATCACCACTCTCCCGACAAGAAGAAGCTGATTAACACCAAACTATCGTTATCTTTGCGCAGACATAACAGGTCGCGCTCTTCGGCCATAATTGCCAAACGACGAACTGGACGTCAAGAACTTCCATTACCACCACCTCCAAGAAAGTCCATACCTTCTCTACGACAGTCATCACCCTCCCATCAACGCGAAATGGAAATCCTCTTAAATACTTCAGGAAATTTACAACAGCCATCGATACGAGGCAATGTCACGAAACTACTCAAAAAGGTTCGAAGGTTAGAGCCGTTCTCTAGTCGAAGTAGAGAAAAGGGATCCTCGCTCAAAGATAAACTAAGCAATATTATGAAGAACAAGAAGGAAACATCGACTATCATCGCCAGCACAACTTCCAGTATCGTTACTACTGCTGCAACTTCCAATAGTACAACCACCAATGTCATTCCCGCCGCCACCGCCATTATTACCACCACCACCGCTGCCACCACCACCACTGTCACCACCACCACTACTACCACCACTACTCTCACCTCCTTTAATACCACTACTACCACGGCCACCACCACTACTGTAGCTTGCACTATAGAAACAAATAAAGAAAATTTAACCAAATCTAGTACTAATACCAAAGAAGAACCAGCAGTTGCTGTAAAATGCAAAGAAGTTGTAGTAAACGAAGTACAGAATTTAAATAAAATTGACAACAAAGATGACGATGATGATCTCTTCGTTCTGCGGCAGATAGCTCTTGAAACAAAACAAAAAAAGAATGTCGTTCCAAAGTCCGAGGATGTAAAAAATGAGACTACTAATAATGTAAAGACCCAATTACAATCTGTGGCGCCACTACAGAAGTTACCTAACATCTGCATAGACGATAACGATGATGATCTTGAGCTACGAATGATAGCCCTGCGTTCAGCCGTGCTCAAGAAACATAATACACGCATGCAATCCGGCGTTAGACGAAAAAGAAAGAGCAGCGAGGTACCCGTTGTGCCACGCATTGAAAGTCCTTTCACATCTAGCTTTATCGAAGATTTTCCTTTGCTAGCTAAGATCTGTAGTCCCACTTCACCCCTTGGATCGAAAAAAGATATCTATTATGATGAAGACATGGATTTAGATTCCGATATGGAACTCGATGGATCGCCTTACTCACCCAATGATGATGTTGGTAATCAATTCCTACTTGATAGCGTCGAATCCTTACCAGCCTCTGTAAATCAAGAACACATGATTAACATGAGTCTCTATTCATCTTCCAATCTCATAAAAACATCATGTCATCATGGCCAAATGTCAGCTGAACCTCTTGATCGAAATGTAATGAAATTAAGTAACCACGAGTCTCGACCTTACTCACCAACTGATGCTACAATCTATGATCCTGATTTACCAGGCGTTCGCTTTAGTGTTGCTGACACACAGCCCCTCCAACCTCCACCTCTGCCACCCTTACCGCCTCTCGACATGCTCGATTCTCAACAGCCAGCGTTGATTGGTTGTACAATGGGTTTAACAAATGTCTACTCCGACTCTCTACTTACTCTGCCCATGCCCGGTTTCTCAACAATCCACCAAGCCCTAAACCCGCTATTACTTCCGCCTCCGCCTCCACCGCCTCCTAGTACGGCTCCGCTCTTCACTTGCCCAGTGGTTACGGTAACGACAACGACAACAGTAACGACAAAGACAACTCCAACATCTGAATCTACGATAGCATCCGATACAATTTTAACTAACGAACTAAATGACTTTGGTGAGACAGATCTTGACGGTAGTCCTTTAGTACCCATAGAGCAGGACAATGAACGCGCGACCTGGTTACTACTTGACGAACCATTGTATTTATCCAATATTCAAATGTGCGAGCCAAATGGACTATCAAAACTTGTCAGCCCCATACCTCAAATCGAATCGCAGATGACCGAAACAATGTCAAAAAGCGTCGAGTCGCAAAATAATACTCTTATTAAGTCACAGATAGTGCCACTGTCACATCATAAGGAACCAGACATGATTAGAAGCAGAAGCTTGGTACAGAAGCGGAAGCGGAAACAAAGTAATACTTCGCGCCAAGTAGAAGAGTTAGTTTCTGGTAAATTTGACTCAATGCAAGAAAATCGCCAGGAATTTGGTAGCCTACATGTTAAAGAGAAAAAATCTAACGATAAAGAGGCTAACGTCGAAGATGACGAAGAAGTACTTAGAGAAATATTGCTTGCTTCATTAGCCAAAAGAGCGAAAGATCAGCCAATAAAAACGCCAACAAGAAACGAGGAATTAAAAAACACTTTAAAAGTAAAAAATGATCTTTCACGAAGTTCAGCACTCGCACCAAAATTACCTATCGCAAAAGCAGTAATGATGAATCAGCTGAAGAGACAAGCGTCACAAGCTGCTTCAGCCGAACAGCCATTGCGGAAGATTATAAAAAAAACAAACGTTATTCCAGCTTCCACAAAAGTCGTTAATAATGCAAAGCGCTATCAAAACCTAATGATTCAGCGTAAGCTCAACCAGCAGAAGATTGCATTGATTGCTTCATCCAAGAGTCGCTTTAAGGTAAACAATAACAGCAATGCTAATAGTAACGTTAAAAATATAGGTAGCGTAAGTGAAACTCAAAGCTCAACAAGTCCACAAATAACAAAATTGATTAATGAGAATCAAAGGATCATAATCAATCTTAATGAAGATACTGAAAGTGAATCAGAAAATGAAGAAACGAAGATGAAATTAAACACCACCAAAACTAGACCGACTATAACAATACCAACAACAGATTTTGAAAAAAGTGTTGATCAATTTCTTAAGGATGTCAGGCACAAACAGGAGATGAATATTATAAATTCATCTACAACGTCAACAATGACAGTAACAAAAACAACAAACAATTTAACTTCGACTCAGATAAAACCTCCCGTTCAAAAGCTGGTCATTCCAGCGACTTCACTTACAGTTTCCAGTGTCAAGATTACCGATCCTGTAACAACAAAACCAAACATAAATCTTGCAAAAGCTTCTACTGCAACAACTTCCAATACAAATTTAGCAAATGACAAATTCACTCCTGACAAGGCAATAACGAAAATTCCAAGTATATCTGCTACACCTCAGGTGAAACTTTCTAATTAAATATTTATATAAAGTTTTAATTTTGTGTATTTACATTTTTTATCCTAAAGCTCAATTTAACTACTTTTTACAAAAATTGTAAATGTAGTTCTAATTTTAAATACAAAAAAAATTGGTTCATTCAATTATGCAGATTTTGAAAATAAAAATTATATTGCAATTGTTTATCATACATTTTCATAATGTCTAATATCGCTTATAATACAATTAAATCACATGCAAATTCTAGCCGTTACTAAAATAATTCATCAACACAAACATAACCATATTTAAAATAACATAACATTTAATATATAATCAATCACTGTGTACGTCAATATTTTTAAGGTTATAATTTTTAATAATTTAACCATTTTAATATAGACAATTAATTGTTTGTTTATGTACTAAAATTCTACTTAACCTAAAATATTTTTAGAAAGTTAATTCAATAATGACTTTCAATCATGGATTAATAAATATACTTGAAATAATCTGCAAAATTTATTGTAATTCTAAACTCAATAATGTAATATAATTTTATAATCACACAAATTGATTCAATGCAATGTTCATAAATACTATAATCCATCAGTCATAAAAATAATTTAATTACTAATATTAATTTTTCTAGGCAGTAAAGCATCTACCAGCATCTCAACAAGAAGAATATCGACGTTTGAAACAACAAATATTCGAGCGCGAAAAACTACATCTACAAAATTCAAAAGGATCTACCACTGCTTCTACTACAACAACATTAACAAAGAGCTCAAGCATTTTATCAAGTCCTATTATTTCACCAGTTATACTGACATCATCCATCCGAAAAGTTGAACCGAAAATTCAGATATCAACACCAAGCAATCACATATCTCCTTTAAATAAAATGGTTCCCAAGACACAACTGGTAGCAACAATAAGCCCAATGTCGAAGCAAAATTATGGGAACATAACTGGAAAATTAAAAATAGCCTTATCTCCCATTTCTTCTAAGCAAATCGTTAGTAAACCCAGTATGAAAATTCCGGCCCAATCAAGTCCTCTTTCGAGCGTAAGAAGATTGCAACAAGTGAAACTCCTGGACAAAATGAATGACGCCTTGAACACCCAGAAGAAACAAATTAGAGCAGTTGCCCACAAGGTCTCTTCTTTAAGGATACTTGCTAAAGAGCGACTGAATTTACGGAACTCGCATGTACAACGTCCGAACATAGAGTCCGAAAGTCGTCTTAACATGGAAAATCTTCATAGACTAAAGAATCATCAGATAAAAGATGTGAAGAATGAAAATGAAACTATTTCAAATTTATCAACTACTAGCAGAAGTCATTCAATTGATTCATTAAATGCGACATACGTTTCTCTACAAAGTAGTGTAGATAAAGCTTCGACTATGGAAAAATCCTCTGGTATCGACGAGTCAAAACAAAATTGGGAAGAATTTAAAAAAGAAGTTCATAAAGAAGTAGAATCTCTTTCGAATCTATCTCCAGAGGAACAAAGGGAACTTTTATTCAATACAGAAGAAGAATTAATTACAAAAAGGTAGCAAAATATTTATTTCATTATATCGTAGCATTAACTTTTTTTTTTTATAATTTTAATATTTTTTACTTGTATTCTACAAAAATAATTAACACGTATTGTATCATATACATGTTTATGTAATTTTATAGTTCGCACTTTCTTGTATTAAAAATAATGGATATAGTTTATAGAGAACTAATATTAATAAATAACAGGAAATTATAAGTATTTAAATATCAAATAATCTAATATCCATTTTTTCAAAATATTTAGTTAATAATTCATATTACAATATTATTACACTCACACGCGCGTGCGCGTGTACACTTACACGACATAAACTATAATGTATGATTTTCTGTAATTCTTTAAATATTTATCGTTACATTAATTATTAGATTTTTCATCAAATTTAATATTTTGTTTATTTAACATTTTAAAACAAAAAATTATTATTTTATTCACTTACGTAGAGCACTTCATACTTTATTTTTTTTAAGGCATTCAGTTTTGGATGATATCACTGAAATGTCAGGCAATCTTAGACAATGGGAAATAGAAAGGGATCTACAAAATATGTTAAATAATGAAATTAATAAGCTTCGAGAACAACTGAGAACAACTGAAGAAAAACTGCTTTTACAGAAAGAAAAGTTGAACAGTATTCAGCCCAAAGTGTCTACTTATCATGAAAAAATCAATAGTGGCAGAAAAGAATGTTTCAGATTATCTAAAATATGTAATGGTCTTGGTCAACAGATTATTGGGTCTAATTACAAGTATATAATCAGAATTTTATTTATAAAAATTTATTGATCAAAACATTTTTACACTTATAATGTAAATGTTATGAAACAATAGTATTTGGATGATTCTTAAAAACTCTTAATATAAAATTATAAAATTTAAAAAACAAAAAATTTGAATAAACACTTATTTACGATGTAATAACTGTATATATGAAATTTAAGTAATCATGATAAATCTTGTTATTTTTTAATTTTTTGGTAATATTCTTAAATTATTTATAATCTTTTAATCATATTTTTTGAATAATTAAATAAATAAAAAGTCAATTTCATTTTACATTAAAGTAAAAGATTTTAATTTATGTAAATATCTGATGCCAATGCCGTTTGTAATAGAATAAGTAAATAAAATAAATAAATCTGTACATACACACAGACAGATATTTGAAATTTTCAAATGCAGTTAATACATTTTCTATATTATATGAACTATGAATAAGTTTTAATTAATTTTTCTATTTGTCTATTAAATTTTTATGAATAATTGAATAAGTTATAAATTGAATTTCAGAAATTTTCTTTGTAAATTATTAATTTACTTTATAAATAGAAACAAGTTTTATAAGTGATATAATGTTATAAGCTCAAAATACTTTAAGTTTTTTTCTACAAAAAATCTTTTACAATATATATAAATAATGAATTTCTAAAAGTTTTAAAGAATTGTCCATTTATGTCTTCTATATATTTTTATTTACTTTTGTTTTCAAATTCGTCATGTTTATATAAAATTTCAGTGTTCCTACTGCTGGTGCAGAACTTTTAAATAATAAGATAAAAGAAGTTGCTATTCATACTCAAAAATTACGCAGTAAAAAAAATCTACCTAAAGAAATTATAAAATCTAGTAATTTATCAAAGTCTGATAAAATTAAAAATAAAAATTCTAAATCTCATAATATTAATTCTAAACGTAAAGAATTTTTTAAAAAACAAACAAATATAAATAATACTGATAAATCCATGTCAGTATGCCTTAATACAAATTTGAATATAATTACAAAAAATACAAATTTTTCTAAAATCAATGAATCACTGACAAATACTAATTTAAATTCAGACATTACAAATGTAGAAATTGAAAATCAATTACAGGAAAATAGTGTTAAAGATGCAAGTTGTAATATAATAAATAAAAACTTATTAATGGCAGATAATGTAGAAAATTCAATTTCATATTCGGTTAATAATTTTAATATTAAAACTGAAAAATCATTAATAAACAGTAATGCTTTGAATATGTTATTAAATACAGAAAACGTGTTTAATCAAGAGGGTGATAAAAATGAAAATAATGATTTAAATCGGACTTTAATTATAGAAAATGCAATTAATACTGAATATGAAAAGCCGAAATTGAAAACTAGTTTAATAAATTCTATTTTAACTGCAGAAAACACTGTTGACATTGAAAATGAAAAATTACCTACACAGAGTAATATTTTAAATGAAATTATAAACACAAAAAATCTGCAGTTAGAAACCGCAAGAAACTTAGCAGAATGTAATGTCCTAAATTCGGCATTAACTTTAAAAAATGATATTAATGTAGAAACTGAAAAAACATTAACCGAACTCAATGCAATGAGTTCATCCTTAATTATTAAAGACAATATCGATTTAAAAAATGAAAATAAATTAACGGAATCTAATATAGAAAATTCAATTTTAAGAAAAGAAAATTCTTCAATCCTAAACAGTGATGAAGATCAAACTTTAATTATGCGAAATATTAACTCGGACAGTGACAAACAATTAACAAATTTTAATATTGAAAGTTTAGCTTTAACTAAAAAAAGTATTCTTAATATTCAAAGTGAAAAATCAGCTTCCGAAATTGGTGTAGATAATTTAATTATAACAGAAAAAAATGATTTTAAAAATCTAGTGCGTGAAAGTAGTATTCCAATGGATGTAACTACAGAATGTGACTTTAAAGCTGAATCCAAAGAAATATTAGAGATTGGAATTGGATTAGATATCGTTTCGACCACAAGTATTATTGATACTGAATTAAATGAAACACTAATAAATACTGAACAAGAAAATAAAAAGGACCATTGTAAAGAAATAGTTCCGATTGCATTTTTTAATACGAAAAATGTTGAAAATAGTTCTAATTGTATTAATGATAAAAATATTGAAAATATTAAATTAACATCATCGGTAGAAAAAATAATAGTAAATGATGATACCGAAAGAAAAAATTCTGAATATTCTATAAGCAATAAGCATTCCCTTTTATCGAACTACATTGATACATTAAAATTAAAAGATCCTATTCAAGAGACCACAGAACTGACCATAGAAACAAAATGTAAGGAACAGTTTTTGGATCATAGAAATGAATCTTTGCTGCAAAGTTGCAGTTTCAAGACAGCCAAAAAAAACGTGATTCAACCTTATGAATCTATTTTAAAGCATCTACAGACAAGGTGAGTGAAAATAAGTGAAAGATTTTCAATTAACAAAATTTTTGTAAATTCATATAATGTTAGCATACATTAAAAAATGTTGAACCCCTAAAATCATCGAAATAAAATAAAATATTTTATTGTAATTTTATAAATAATTTTAAGATGACGTTTATAAAAAATAGAAAAAAATTTTAAATAAAAATTGCTTTTAAAAAAGAATATTGTTATTGCTTTGTCGATAATATTTAGGAACAGCAAAACCGATGGGATTCTTTGTCCATATGAACTCATGGGTACCTGTAATGATGGAGATTGTCAATTTGTTCATCAATCCACTAGTCAATGTCGATAAACTTTTAGTGACTAAGGCTCGTGGAATATTTTTTATACGTAAGGTGGTTCTATTATGTAAACAAGTGTCCTAGTACACTATATGACTTCTATATTTATTTATATATAATTTTTGCACATAAAAAACAAATATTGCATTATTTTTTAAATCTCAGTAATTAATGTTGAAAGTAAAGAATTCCAATTTATTAATAAATTTTTATATCGTTATAATAAATCTATAACTATAAATGTGTTTAATTATTGACATAAAATTTGAAATTTATATATTTAAAATAAGACTCCGTTATAATAGTTATAATTTATATATATATATATATATATATATATATATATATATATATACATATATGTTGATAATTTTTGCAATTTTTGTTAAAGAAGGATATTAAACATTCCTAAATTTTATGTGTATTTGTATCTTTACATTTAATTTCAAACATCGAATGATCGAATACTTATTTAATGCCTATTTTATTATTTAATATTTAATAAGATTTTCAATTCTTATCAGTAAAATACTGTATATCCATAATAATTTTTGAAGCGTTGAACGATGATGACAAGCCGTTTTTAATTCAACAAAGAAGCCTTGATCGTTCATTTGATTTCAGGTATTTTGAGAGGCTTGACGAATTACTCTTAGATACAATTGTGCATTGGATGTGTCGTTTCTCAGCATTTTTGAAGATTGGTAAGTCGTCTTCGTAACTCACAGGATCTTTTTTACAGTGATATATTACTATTGTTTATTAGAAAAAATTTTCATAAATGCCGAAGCTTGTTTTTTCGGTAGATTATTTTTTGTTATTGCTATCACGTTAATATTTTTGCACTCGAAAGAACTGAGTTAATTAATGCTATATAAGCATTATCATTATTTTTTTCTTTTAAACTTTTTATTATGTGTAAAAATTATAAATATATATTGAAGATTTTATCGGTAAGGAATTGAAATTGTTGCCATGTAAATAATTTATAAATCAACTAAAATATTGAGATTCTTTAAACTTTTAAAGTGAAATCTGATAAATCGAGAAAATTAGAAGTGATGACTTCGCGATAATGTGTATCATAAAAATTAAATACCTCATAAGAATTAAGTGAAAAAGTGTATGTGTAAAAATAAAAGTTAATTTTTTTTAACTTGTTTACTTTATTTCGTCAAACCTATCCAATTTATTAAAAATAATATTTCATAAAATTGAGCTTTTGCATAATATATCTCTTACTTCAAGCTGTGTATATATGTAGAGTTTATAAGATTTTTAATTACATATTGAGGTAAAATTGAATATCATTGTAAATAAAAGTAAATATTGTTTTTTTGAATATATCGTTTGTTTGATTAAGAAATACGAAATTTATTATTAACAGGCACTAATTAAAATATGTATTTTCTATTAGTGATAAAAGCTCAATTTGTCAACTCAGATATTAGAACGAATTATTTCTAAAAGTATTTCGAACCAAGTATATATAGGCTTTTTACCGAGCACATGTTCACATTGATATAATAAATTCATGTATATTATCAAAAATCTAGTTATTACATTTTGATACTGATATTTCTTGCTGTGAATAGTATGAATATACTGATTTCAATAAAAATTTTGTTGAAATATAACAATGTATCTTTTAAAGTCTTAAAGGCTCGATTTTTAAAATTAAGTAAAAACTATTTGTAAAAAAAGCTTTATCGATCTGTATACACAAAACGATACCATAACTTTTTTATTTAACACGTTTTAAAAAATCAATTTATGTACATGTCAGGTAAAAATATGAAATCAAATTGAAACATCAATTATAATTAATTGTGAAATTAAAGTAGTGAATATATAATATGTATAGTATATTGATTAATTTGGTTTATTGCGGAACATTATCTATATTTTTGCCGCAATTGACTCTATTGGTTTATCTTAATGGCAAATGCATATTTTTATCGTAGGATTCATGTATTTCTAATTTATTAATTAAATGTATATTTACTTATGTATATACTTCTATTATATCTCTTATTTATTAATTATAAAGATACTTTGTATTTTAACATGAAAATCTTAATAATTTGTAATAAAAAATGTAAAAGAAAATAGTTAAACCGTTTTAAAGTTTATATTAAGAATGAAATATTACTTTTATGAAATTATTTATTAATACTTATACATAATTATGTAAAATGTAATTAAACAATTTTAATTTGAAATTGAAATATAAATAATATTATTAGAATTTTGACGTTTATAAATAAAAAAAGATATTTTATAATTAAAATTTATTTTATATTTTTATATATTTATATTACTGGAGTGCGCTTGAAATACATTTTTTATACTTCAAATAGAAAATATTTAAGTAATTTAAATTATTGTAAAAGCAAGCATATATTTTTTGTTTACCTGTATACGTATGTGCACGAAAAATAACTTTAAATGAGTTAATTTTTTTAGTTTTAATATTATCATTTATTCCAAATGCGCTGACATCAATATCTCCTTTCATACAATATAATTATACTTGTTTTTCGGTACACATTTGTTTACTGTAAGTTAAATGTATAAGCCCAATTTTTCTACTATAAGTATAATAAACCAGTCATTTATATGAGTAAGATTTAAAGTTTAGCTACAGTGGTTCTTACATAAAATATCGTAAAATGTAATATTAGTCCTTAAAAGAACAAAAAGTGTCAACAATAGGACAAAGCCTTGATTTTTCAAAAATTCATCATTTGCTTATAAAAATAATGCTAATGTTATATTTGCATTATTAATACAAATATTTATAAATGTTACAAGGTTAGTCATATATAAATTTAAAACTATACAATTGTTGCGATTGAATATATTCTTCTCGCTTTTAAAATCAATGAAAATCATTAAATTTATCAAGTAAATAATTACAAATTCGTAATCGTATGAATTAATTATTTTATGAATATATTACAGTCTATACTTTAGTTTACTAGAGTAAAGCACAATTACTAGATTCTACACAGATTTCTCAAATCTGATTATAAATTTTTTAAATAATCTTTAATATAGCTTCCTACATTACTTCACAATATAAATTATGCTATAGCCTAGTCAAAAGTAAAACTGCACAAAAAACGTTGAGAAACCTTAAGAAGATATGAGATAAGGAATAACCGTACAAATGCCACGTCAAGTGCCTTAAAAAAAAAAATGTCAGTAAACACTCATTTCAGATAAATAAAAATTATAATTTATTGCTCTAACTATGTCTCTCGAAGTGTTATGGTTTTATATTTTTATCTGTCTTTTGGCACTTATATTTCTGGTAAGCATGATTTAATATGAGGTTATATTTTGACAAAGTTTAGCACTCCATGTAATTATTATAATTATTTAACTAATAACTAATTATGCTAAAGTTTCTAATATATAAAAACTGAATTAACTAACTATTGTATCAATAATTTTATTTATAAAATTAATAATTAATTAATAATATTTGTAAGATTAATCATTGTTTTTAATTTAATACAATTCATTTTAATTGTAATTCTTAAAATTTAAATATTTTTGCCTTTACTATTTACAATTTGTATAAATTAATTTTTATGAAATGCTTGTGTAGGCAAACTATTACAATTTTTCATTAATAAATTTAATCTCTTTCAGTTTACTTTGATAATCTATGTAATATGTAAAAACACAAATCCTTATCCAAAAATGTATCGATACGAAGAAGAAAAGTATTATTTTGATATAAATACAGGAGAAAAAAAATTATTCCCATCTTTAGAAGATAATTGGAGTGTAAATATTAGTGTTATTGTTCCTGCATACAATGAAGAAATAAGATGTAAAATATTTTAGAATTAATAATTATTTTTAATATAAAGTACAAAAATATTAATAAAATCTAATGCTAATTAAGTTAATTTTAATGCAACATGATTTTATCTTAAATAAAAATATTTTATCACAATGAAAATTAATATAATATTAATTAATATATTAATAATAAATTTTAAAAATATATCTAATTAATATAAGATACAGAAAATATTCAACTTATACATTTTCATTATTCTTTAGTACCAACAATGATGGATGAATGTTTAAAATATTTAGAGGAACGTAGAAGAATAGGTATTTCGTATGAGATAATTGTAGTCAGTGATGGAAGTACGGATAAAACTATTGATGTTGCACAATCTTATGCAAAGAAATTTAATACAGTTCGAGTGTTAGCTTTAAAAAAAAATAGAGGAAAAGGGGGTGCTGTAAGATTGGTTGGTATTAATGCATTTAAAAAATGTAATTATTTGTTATAAATAAATTGAAACTGAATGTTATATGTTGTAGGGTATGCAAAGTGCTAGGGGTAGTGTATTATTATTTGCTGATGCAGATGGTGCCACGACATTCAATGATATAGAAAAATTAGATGAAAGCCTAACAAACATTTTAGGATGTGAGATTTTAATATTATGTGCCAAATAATTTTAGATTACTTTGATTAACATTATTCTACTTTAAAAGATCTTCGAATATTAATTTATATTCTATAAAAATGAAAATGAAATGAAATGAAACTATTCGTAAATGGATTTTATATTGTTTTATTTAAAATCTAAATTCATTCCTTCTTGAAATTTAAAATATTACGTTTATTAATTACATTTATTACGAGGTAATTACATTTATTAAAACATTAAATTATTTTAGTAATGTAATGATTAAAAATGGTATTTTTAAATCAAATATGCCCTATAATAATATTATTGGGTGATACTGTAAAAATAGTACTTGAATTTTAAAGTTTTTCTTAAAAAGTACTTTTTAATCATATTTAATTAATATTCTCTGATCTCTTTAATTTATTGTTAACATTGTATACAATATGCAATGAAATTGAATGTTTCCAGTTAACTACATTACGTCTGCGGCCAAAACTTCCATCTCCCATGCCGTGATATGCGGCTCACGCGCACATCTTGAAGAAGAAGAAAAATCTAAGCGCTCGTTTTTTCGTTTGCTACTCATGCACGGCTTTCACTTCCTCGTTAAATTACTGTGTGTGAAAAGCGTTCACGACACGCAATGTGGTTTCAAAATGTTAACGCGTGCATCTGCACGTCTCATCTTTACAGCACTACATATTGAACGCTGGGCTTTTGACGTAGAAATGTTATACATTGCCGAAGCATTGAAGTTACCTATAGCCGAGGTCGCAGTTGAATGGCAAGAGATCGATGGCTCAAAAATCATTCCTTTCTGGAGCTGGCTACAAATGGGCAAAGACCTCGCTCTAATTTCATTTAGGTATAAAATCGGCGCTTGGAAGATTTTAAAGTCAAAAGACGATTGATGCTTTTCTAATCACAATTGACTAAATTGATAATTATATTTTGAACATGAACAAATATATAATTATAATTAGCTTTTTATCGACTATTGAATTGTATGGAATTTTAGTTACAATTGTTTAGTATTTAATAATGTAAATGAAACTATTTTAATTTTTACAAGTTATAATTATAAACACATCCTTTTATTTATAATTATTTGTAGTGTTTTGGTGTAAGGTATGTTTTCACAGTACTGAATACTGCAAGTAAAATTGCTCGTTACATGGAATAAAATAATTATTTTAAAAGTTGTAATGTGTTATTAAGATATAATTTAAAAATTAGTATAAAAAAAAAATGTTTATGAACTTTCTACATAAGTTATTTATTTTTAATTTGGACTTCAATTATAAATAGCAGACTTTACTATTTATGAATTTTTTACTTTTAAAATAATTTTTATTTATTTTTATAATTAAAAAAATTTTTTTAATGCCATTGTTCTTATTAAACTGTATGTAGTAAATAATTAATTAATTAATTAATAACAATTTGTAATAAATCAACATTCTATATGAATATATATATCTATATATTTATATATATATATATCTTTTTTTAAAGATACTCATTAAAATAATAAATAGTGATGCATTAAAAAAGTATAGTGCATTAACTTTTCTTTTTTGTTAATTTATTATAGGTAAGTTATTTAAAGATTTATGCATAGATGATCCTCAACTCCATACTTATATATTAGATCTTTCAATAAATATATTTAACTATTTAATTTGTTTAATAAAATTAATAGTAGATTATTATAATTCATCTTAAACGAAATTCATGTGTTAAAACCATCTTCTTTAACATTACATCTAATATTCGCAATGTAATGTAATAAAAAACTATTGTCATTGTTTTTTTTCTCATAATTATTATTGAAATATTAATATGTATAAAATGAAAATATTATCAATTAATTAATAAAATAATAAATAAATGCATAAAAATTCAGGAATGGGTGGATTATTTTTTACATTCCGAATTATAGATTAAAACAATTAAAATCAAATGTTATTGGAATAATTTAGTAATTGCAATACTTATAAGTTTTCTAAATCTAAATTAAGCAAATACACCAAACAACATATCTTACTAATCACCTAACTCTACGTCATCATGACAATTCTGTTTATTTCATCATTCCCGATTCTCCTTATTAACTTACCAGTTTATGGTGAGGGGGGGAGATGAAAAAAGTTTGGTGTGCGTGGAAATGTTGACACAGATATAAAGATTTACGTTTTGAAGCCATTTATAATAAATTTATTTAAAACAGTTTTTGGTTATTATTTTTTAAATTCTAAAATCTAAGCCTTAGTGACTAATTTGAAAAATTAACAAGTTCTTCGTTTCAAGAAAAAGAAAGAAGAAAAATGTCCAACTCAATGATACCGAATCGCGAATTTTTATTAGATATATTCCAACGGTAATATTATATTCATTTATTGTAATGCGATTTATGCTAATGAAGTTTAATTTCTGTATTTTTCATTTTTATAAATTTTTTATTGTATTTCTTTTAAAATAATCGTGATTTATTTGACATTACTAATTTATGTTCATTTACACGAGTTTATTATTTTTTATTTATTTTTATTGTCAAGATATTTTCATAGGATAAGAATATTTCGCATATGATATTCATTAATTATTTTCAAAATTATACTAATTTTAGAGTCGATAAAGATCATTCTGGTGAGATCACAGCTGATGAATTACAACAAGCACTTTCTAATGGTACATGGACACCGTTTAATCCAGAAACAGTGCGTTTAATGATTGGTAAACTACTTACGAATTAAATTAATATAATATTACCATTGTTTTAATTAATTTTGATTTGTTGTATTAAACATAAGACAGATTTGTTAATATTTAAAATAAATTTCTGTAAGATAGTTTTATAAAAACCATGTTTATCAATAATATTATAATATATAAAAATATATGTAAGGTTTGGTTTATTTATACATTGCTGGTTAATTTTAAAAAATATATATTGATTTCACTATATTTCAATTTACTTATGTTGTATTAAATTTATATTTAGAAAAATTTGTAATATTGTGATAGAATTGTGTCTTTCTTTTTGGATATAAATAGTAATATACTCTATGTTTGTTGCTGCAAATTGCTTAATTTTATTTATACAGGTATGTTTGACAATGACAAATCAAATAAAAATTCCTCAGGTATGTTCGATAAAAAAAATTCTGCTACTGTCAATTTTGAAGAATTTGGAGCTCTTTGGAAGTATATATCAGATTGGCAGTGTTGCTTCAGATCATTTGATCGAGATAACAGTGGAAATATAGATAGAAATGAACTGAAAACTGCTCTAGTGAGTTTTGGATATCATCTATCAGATGGAATTATTAATACATTAATGCGCAAGTATGATCGAGCTGGAAGAGGAACAATATATTTTGACGATTTCATTCAGTGCTGTGTAGTTCTGCATGTAAGTATATTTATATTATTCTCTAGTAAAATGATAAATGTGTTTTGCTATTCCAGTGACATTATTTTTCTAATACTTTCAGACACTGACTTCAGCATTCCGACAATATGACACAGACTTAGATGGTGTTATTACAATTCACTATGAACAGTTTTTAGGAATAGTTTTTAATCTTAAGATTTAATATGAATAAAGATAAAAACTGAAGTATTGTACAAGTACAAACAGTGAACGTGTTAAAAGTTTCTATTAACTTTTAATAAGATTTTTTAACGAAGTTTGTCAATTTTTTTACCAAAAGCTAGATCTAAAAATTTTTTGGAAACAATATTTTATAATCAAATGTACATTTGAGTTGTTAATAATTGTGTATTTAAAGTATGTTTTATATGTATTATTTTTACTTGTATTATTAAACTAGAGCCAACATTAAGATTATATTATTATTTCCTTATGATACATAATATATTTAATATAAATGGAAGAACAAAAACAACTATTTATTAAAAGTTCCAAAATTTTAGAAATTCTTTTGCCAAAGAAAAACATATTTTTCCAAAAAAAATCAACTTCAATATTTTTCTATTAAAAAATAAAATATTTAAACATATTAAAAAGAATATTTAACCCAACAGAAACAAAATACCTTATAATACATGATAAAATAGAAATTATTTCAATTGGATTTCATGCATATTTGCTTAAATTAAGAAATTTGTATAAAAGTTGTAATTATTTAATTAAACTGTTAATTATGGAATATTATTTTAAGACTGTAATTATGTATAATCTTGTACGCAAGTATGCCTTAAATATTTTTGTGAAAATATTTTTCTATTCATTTCTATATTGTGTAATTTTATAAAATATAAGAATAAAAATTAAAATTTTATTACAAAGTATTTTATTTAAATTTTTCTTTTAAAATTTCAAAAATTATTTCCTATTATAATCCTACATAAGAAAAAATTTTACTTGTAAACAACAAAATCCAATGAAATTTAAATATATTGAAATAAGGTTATGTTGGGTCACACACTGTAATTGGGTACAGATTGTATATATTTAAAGTAAATAAACGTAAGCAAATTGCGAAAAAAAAAATGATAAAATTTGGAACATCTTACAAAATAATTTAATTATTAGAATTTCAATTGTTTTTTAAAGAATAAGTTGATAATGTTATCCGATTCTGTTGCAATTATAAAACTTACATTATTGTGTTTAGTTTTATGTGCATTATTCTTACCTTTAATTATTATTGTATTTCTCAAAGTAAAATTTGCAAAATCATACCGTATAAATAATAAAAATATAATCACTATTGGAATTTTTCACCCATATTGCAGTGCTGGAGGAGGAGGTGAAAGAGTTCTTTGGGCTGGTATACAAGCATTACAATCAAAATACAAAAATGTACAGATTTATATTTATACTGGAGATTTAGATGCTGATCGAGATAAAATTCTTAACAATGTTGAAAAACTATTTAATATAAAATTAGAAGATAATGTCAACTTTATATATCTATTTCAGAGGAAATGGGTGGAAACTAAAAATTATCCATACTTTACATTACTTGGTCAAAGTTTAGGATCTCTTTGGCTTGGCTATGAAGCACTTACACTTCTTCAACCAGACATATTTATAGACACCATGGGATATGCATTTACGTATCCATTATTTAAATATATTGGAGGATGTAAAATAGCTTCATACACTCATTATCCAACAATATCGAAGGATATGTTGAGGCATGTCTATCGTAGGGTTATCGTACATAATAATCGTCAGGTTATTGCAAGGAACCCATTTCTGACAGCAGCAAAAATGATGTATTATAAAATGTTTGCATTTTTATATGGTATTGTAGGTAGAACAGCTGATATTATAATGGTCAACTCGTCATGGACTGAGGATCATATTAATTCAATTTGGAAATGTCCATTAAGAACTCATCGAATTTATCCTCCTTGTGATATAGAAAAATTAGTAAATTTACCATTAATAAATGATGAAGAAAAAGGTGACATTATTCGTATAATTTCTATTGGTCAATTTAGACCAGAAAAAAATCATCCACTCATGCTTAGGGCTATGTATGAATTAAGATCAATAGTTGACGAAAATACTTGGCAAAAAATACGGTTAATATTAATTGGTTCGACTCGTAATAATGATGATGAAATACGAGTAAAAGACATGAAAGATTTATCTAAACATTTAGCTTTAGATAAAAATGTAGAATTTCAATTAAATATTTCTTATGCCGAACTTCTAAATGCACTTCAACAAGGAACTATTGGCCTACATACTATGTGGAACGAGCATTTTGGTATAAGTATTGTCGAATGTATGGCTGCAGGATTAATCATGGTTGCTCATGCCTCGGGTGGACCAAAAGCTGATATTATTGAAACCCAGACTGGATCGCGAAATGGATTTTTAGCAAATGAGGCTGAAGAATATGCTCAAATTATTGCATGCATTATTAAGATGACTACAAATGAAAAAGATATTATTCGCAATGCTGCTAGATCATCTGTTAATAGATTTTCTACTGAACACTTTGAAAAAGAATTCATAAGAACTCTTGAGCCTCTTTTTAGATCAGAATAGTGATTTGTAAAATTATAGGTTAAAAATTAAGAATGCCTATGTAAAATTATTGTAATTACAATATTTAAAATTATATCTTAATGTTAAGACTAATTAAATAGAGTATATAAGCATCTGTGTTTTGAATTATAAAAAAATTTTAAATTTCATGTTTGGCAACCTTTTCAAATACAAAGTCCCTATATAGTATTTTTCAAATCAGACATAAGTATACATTCTAAACCAAAGGAACTATACGACTATGACATTTAATTATAGTCTTACTAATTTTGAGGTTAAATACGATGGAAAAGAAACGTGGTAGAAAAAATTGATACTATGAAATATTGTTTATTATATTTATCTTAAAATGAACATCACAGAATTATTTGAAAATTTTAACTATTTGCAATTATCTATCCCCTTGGTATTTCTATTTGGCTGTGGATGCTACCAATTTATGAAGTGCAAGCGATCAGAACCTAAAGATGCAAGTTTAATTTCCTACTTATAATTATATCATACATTGTTTATGTATTCTATTATATTTTGTAATAATAAGAACTTAATGAAATAGCCTTTATTATATGATTTATCATCGGCTTCAAGTATGAATGATTCGGACGACGACTATAAATTAGTTTTGATTGTTAGAAATGAACTGAAAATGGGAAAAGGTAAAGTTGCAGCGCAGTGTGCACATGCCGCTGTTTCTGCATACAAAAAAGCTTTAAAATATCCAAAACTATTAAAGCACTGGGAAAAGTATGGCCAGACTAAAATTACACTTAAAGTAATTTTTCAATTTTATATTATTTTTAAAAAGTTTATGACATAATCATAAAAATATTTAAAATTTTAGTGTAATACAGAAGAGGAATTAATAAAATTACATAAATCTGCCAAAATGGTAGGACTCTTATCAAATATTGTTTGTGATGCAGGTCAAACACAAGTACTACCAGGTAGCAAAACAGTCTGTGGTATTGGCCCAGGACCATCTAGCACTATCGATGAATTAACAGGACATTTAAAATTATATTAATTTTCTTATAATAAACAGTATTTCTAATATTTGAATATTGTATTCAATTTTACAGTTAAGTTTTATTACATAAAATAATATTTTATAAGTTTATACAGATTTTAATGTTTCATTAAAATGAATTTTCATTGCATTCATTATTTTATGAAACAAATTTTTTACTCTTGTATTATAAAGCTAAATAGTCTTTTATTACTCATGAAATATGGGACATTTATATAAAATTAATTTATAATAAAAAAGTAATAGTATAAACAAAGACAGTGATCCCATAGTGAACCAGATTCTTTATTTAAAATCAACAAAATAATTTACATATTTACTATTTTCAATTAATACGATACATTTTTATTAAAAATATGGATGGCAAAACAGTTTTATAGTGATAAGTCACAATTTTAAATTACAATTTTTTAATTTATGTTTGATATTAATATTATAATTAATCGTATCAACTAAAATTAAAAATAAATGGTAAGCCAATGATAATTATTTTATAAAAAAAAAAAATTTTTAAATAGTAACATTACAATTTTATTAATCGTTAATCACATTGGTTTTATTTTCATAAATATCACTTACATTGTCGGTAAATATTTTTAAATATTCATGTAAAAAATCATTGTATATTTAAAATTTTAAATATATTTATACATTAATTTCAAAATAATTACATTATGATAAACAGTTAAAAATTATCCTAAAATTGTATTATAAATACAAATATCATCAACATTGATTTGAAATTGAATATTATATATTATTTCATAATTTTCATATTAATAATTTGATTACAAGTATATTTATATTGCAGTACTTTGTTTGCGTACTACACGAAGAAAAATTGTTCATGTCTTTACATATATAATTTCTTGCATAAATATAAATAAATACATATCAAGCTTAGATAAATTAGTAAATTTCTTCTTATACATTCTACTTAAATTTTTTAATAATGCACAAATATTATTGAAGAAAACAATGAAAGAATTAATTTATAATAAATTTAAATATGGCCTATTATAGAATAATTGGAATATATAGTTCAGAATTTATGAATATATTAAAAGTTAATAAAATAACTTTAATGTGAATAAGCAATCATAAAATTAATTTTAATTGGACTTGTCGAAACGAAAGCAAAACTGTAATCCTTTCAGATTCATATTAAAATTACTAAAAATGTTTCTGCTCTAAACAAAATATGTTACTATATCGTTATTAAATAAATATATCAAAAATGAATTACCAATATAAACTTTATAAATTGAGTTTGAACAATTTATATAACTAACTATATTTCTCTAAGAGAATGAATTTTGAAATGAATTTTTTAATTTGAAAAAATTTTAAAGCCAAAAACGTTTAACACACAACATAATTATTTTATAAATAATATAAAAAAGCATACATAAGGCAATGATGTACTTATATTTGTTCTCCTATTATTGATCTTAAACAATGTTCATTTTAACAAAAATAATTGTCTAGTCTTTTAAAAAATTACATAGTCCAAATAATTTAATTTAATTAATCTAATTTAAATTAGGGATTTAATAAAATTTGTAATATATTAATTCGAAAATCGAAATGACTTTAATAATAAAACGTTTTCAAAAGAATTTATATGCCGAATATTTGATTTTCAAATATTTTTTAAGAAATTAAATATTTAATATATGTTTTCACTAGACATAAATACAACAAAAACTTTGTGAAATTTTGTATAATTCGTTTTAAAGTAAAGAAATAATTTTTATATAAATTGACACTAAATATTAATATCAAAAAGCATCTTTTATATTAAAATACACAGATAAACATTTTTAAGCAAATTTTTATGCAGAAATATGCATAAAAAGTAAATGAAATTGAATGTTTTTAGTAAATTATTTACCGTGAAATAACCGTGAAAAATAAAATAAAAATTATTTTGTGAATAAAATTTCATATTTCATTCAATAATATTTTACAAAATTGTAAGTTATAAATTATCGTACAAAAATCTAAAATAAATATATATTCATGAAATATTTATAATAAATGTTAATTCAAATGTTACAGAAATATTTTAAAATGTTATTTTAATAATGATAAGATAACAGAATGTATTAATTGCTATTAATTTAATTTTCTTATAAATGAGTGTAGTGCATGTGTTAACTAAAGTAATATTTAAAAACTGTTAATATCATAATTATAGTTAACTATATATATAATTATATTAACACACGTTTATTTGTACAATAACAATCCTCTTGAAAAATTTTTTAATATGATTACTATTAATAATTTAAATATTTCATGATCGTCGAATCTAACAGAATTATAAAAGTTCAAAAATATTGTTTTTTTTTAAATTTCATAAACAACTTTTAGTTTTTACAGTTAGCTTACAATAAAAGATTAAAGTATATTTTTTCTGTTTTAAATATAAAATATGATATTTGTTTATTTTCATAATTGACGAAAACTACAATAATATATAAAAAATATAAGTATATTAAGTTGAACAAACTTAAATTCTGGGATAACGTAAAAATGCAATGAAAATACTGTTTAAAGTACAAATATCAACTTTAAAAAAATATTTTTTAAATCTAGATTTACAATGAAACCAATTCATATATACTTTATATTTTTTAAAGAAAACTTTTTTAAAGAACTTTTGAAGCTATATTATTATCAAGATTTGATGACCAAACTCATTTTGCTGTGGGCATAATTTACAATACTGTAATAATATCTGTACCTATAATCCTTGAAATGTATGGCTAAACGTATTTAGGTTTATAACAAGTAATACTAGTTAAACAGCAATTATTAGATATTTTCAAATAGACAGAAAAATACATTGCAATTCCTTTATTAAATATGAAAAAAATTATGAATAAAAATTCTGTAGTTATTTTAATTTCGAATAAACGTTCAATAATTCTTAATCTCTTTATAAACATTTTTATTTCAGAATAAATCTATCAAAATTTATCTATTTAAATAATCAAATTTCTTATAAAAAAAAGTTCATAAAAATAAATTTATGCAATAGACTATAAATTCGTGTATATCTGAATTTATATTTTATTAGTATTCATATCTGATTTTATAAGGAAAGTTAAAGAAAAAGATTTAGTGTCACGATTAACCAATTAATTCAGAGGATAAAGATATTATTGTTTTTCTGTTATCGATATATATCAAATATATTCTCAAAGTTTAAAAATACATATATATATACACTTTTGGAGATACTAATCCAATGATGTATTCGCTTAAATTACAACAGCCTTAAAGAAATTTTTTGACCTTTAATTTTATAATCTTTTTAAATGAGAATGTTTGATTAGATAAATATTAATTAGTCTAATTAAACTTTTATTACGGCTCAATTCAAAATCATCATACATAAATATTTGTATTTATAGAAAGGTGTAATAAGGCAATCTATAATGAATGAACAAAGGAATATTTATCCTTGTATTTTCTTTTAATTAAAATATTTATATAAAGATTCATTTTAATCTGGATACCAAAAGTATAAATATATGTAAACTAAAAATGGCTTTGAATATTTTATTTTCAAATAAAATTACCAACTTTTAAGATAGTTTAACAATATTTTTAAAATATTGTAAATCATTCGAAAATTTTATCAAGTTCCGTTGCTCTTTTACTTCAAAGAACAAAAAAGAATCAATATTATAAAAAGGCATTCTTCCAAATAGAACTGATCTAAAATGTTAAAATTAATAATAATTGAAATTATTATAAAAAAAAAAAAATATAAAGTATTATTGAATTTATTTGAATATAATGTCATCCATGTAACCATTTCAATGTTTCACTTCCCGTTCCTCCCTTCCCTTTAACATTTCAATTAAAATCCCTATTTCTACTTGAATTTACAAACATTCACGGTGACTTGAAAATTTTAAATTATATCACCAAAGAACATTGGTATTCTGGATTGAATTTTACATAATATGTAAACAAGCTTAAGCAAAATGAATACCACAGTACTTAATTACATACAAAGATGAAGAGGTTCGACAAAAATTCTCCAAGATCGAAACTCATTGATTCGAAAATATATTAATGGCAGACAGAATGACGTTCGAATAACCTTTATATGTAAGATTCACAAAGTAATTTTTGGAACTTCTTCTCGTCACTGTTATGAATTCACATAGACGTTCGGACCATCATAACTCATGATCCCAAGGGCCCGAGATAAAAGTAAGGGCTAAAGCTAGACAGGCGGCGGCGGTGCTTTTCTACGCATTTTATTACTGCTCGTAGCGCTGCATTGAGACTCCGCGATGGACCTGCCGTCAGCCTCGTCCCTACGATAGAGTTCGGTATCTCCCTGGAGCCAGTCGGTTGCCTGGGCGCCGTTCCTAGACACGATTTGCTGATGCTCGCCAACCTCCGGACCCACTTCCTCCAGCAGCTTGGAGAGAGAGGGCGCGAGACCGAGACCGAGGTTCCTCTCGTGATAAACCTCGGAGATAGTTGGGGTGAGCTCACGCGTGAGACTCGTGAGGGAGGTCGCCAAACTCCGCGCGTTCCCATGATGATGTTGGTGCGCCATCTCCGGGCTCTGAAGCGCCTCCGGCTTGGTATCCGCTCCAGGCACCGGCTGGGGCGGTTTCCTCGGCGCCGTTCCACTGCTTCCAAGCTCCGTACGTACGCTCAGACGCTCGAGGACGGTTGCTGGCACAGCGGGCAAAGGCTGGCGGCGCAAAATTGTGTTGTGACCGCTATCCCAGTCGGTTAGCGAGCCACTAGAGCTCGAACCTGGACGCTGGCTCATGCACTGATCCGGGTAGAGCTTGCGGATGCGTGCCTGGTGATTAAGGTTAAGCGCAGCCGGGGAGCTCCGGGTGAAACTTTCGCTTGGCTCGTCTGCGGAACAATCGTTATTATAGCTTTATCAAGGTTCTATAGTTTTGGGACGCGCGCAAGTACAACGCCTGACTTGGCAAACTTGTAATGCTAAATACTTTCGATCGTCAGCAGACATTGTCTATTTTTCAAATGTGCCGCAATGTAGTTTAAGCGATGACATTCAGTTAATTGAATACCATTTTACAAATGTAGATTAATGGTTTCTAATTTATAAAACAGTTGGTCGTGATTTAGTTAAATTTGCGGTTACAACACGACATGTAATGACTATAATCAAATTTTTATTAGACTACGATTGTTTATGGTCAAATAAGTAAGTTAAAATGAGTGAAAAAGCTCGTGAATGATGTATAGTATTATAATTCTATTGCAATATTATGTACCCATAATATTTAAATCTAAACATTAACAACGAAAATGTTTTACGAGTTATAAGAGTAGCGTGCTTATAGGACAAACGATACTTTATTATAAATTTCTAACTGTCGTGAACATTATAACAATTTACACCGGCAAGAATATATATTGAAACTATCGATATTAAAACGTTGTATGAGAAAATAATAAATATATTAGTAAATATACGTATACGTTAATAGGCTTCGGTATAGCTAATCTATTAGATAGAGATTCAATTTACAACGCATGCAAATTATTTAAATTATAATTTATATATATATATATATATATATATATATATATATTAATAATGGTTCATAAGGACTTGGTGCTCACCTTCGCGATTTTGGCAATTTAAACGAGAAATAGGCGTTTCCATGGTCTTTCCATCGGGTTCTCCGCGATGTTTTACGTAACTAGCAAAAGCGCCACCCAATCGAGGTCTTTCAGAAAGTCCCCGATCAGTTTGCGTTACAGGAACCAAACTCTCCATTGAGCTACCTGAATCTAAACTAAGACTTTTTGGTGCTTCTTGCGTATCTACAGAAACAAAGAATTATTTTAGCATTAGTATAAATGAGAAAAAAATAATAATGATAAACAATATTTAGATAATAAGAGCAACAGATTCAAATTGTCATTGCATATTCCAAAATACGAGAATTATCGAAATATTTTAATCAAAGTGTGTTTAAAAATGCTTATAATAACCGCTCGATACGAAATCATTACCAAAGAGTGCGAGTAAGGCCTGAAGGGCGAATTGAACGGCTCTTCTCGACGCTTGCTTGCCCGTTCTTAACGTGACTTCCAGCTGACCGACTTCCATAAGATCAAAACCCAAGCTGGCAAAGAGCTCGTGAGATCCAGAGGCCCGCCATACGCACACAGGTAGTTTTACCTCCTGCCCCTCTGTCGCGCAACTGGCTCTTCTCATAGCCGCGATCACGTCTTCCGCTGCCTCAGGCGCCTGTCGTTCAATCGCAAATCAAATCTCTAGTTTAATATAAGTATTGCCTTACTTTTCCAAAAAATTAAATTTTCGTACAATTAATGACATTGGAATGGCAGATTATTCCATATTATAATGAAACAACAGCATCGTAAGTAGATAACGGGCGCATAAAAAAATTGAGCCGTCATTTAGTATTAGCATTTTAATGGGAATCTACATTCAACATTTCTTGGTTAGCTGGGCCGTACCTGTAGCAGTCGAACGAGTGCGTGAAGAGAGGCGTGACCCAGGCCCAGCAGAGCTTGCAAGCTCGCGCTGCATCTCGTCAATCTTTCCTCGGGGTCGCTCTGGGGGAAGAAAACCGAGGGTCGAATGCCGTTACCCGCCGGCTCGAACCTGAAGCCAACGGACATCAGAAGTTCCCGCCATCCCGTGGCCGAACCCACTTTGTTTTCTATACTCTTTTGTGTCGTGTACATGGCATTCTTTTGCCCGCAATGTATTCGCTGCAACGACTTCTCAACGAGATGCAGAGTGACGCGGAGGGCGTCGCGACTCTGCTCCGGTCCACTGCGCAACAGCTCAGCCAAAGCCTGACCCATCAATGCCACCTGAAAGTTTAAAGCGTATCTGACTTTTAACTGCGCATTCCACTTATTTCTATCTAACGGAAACGACGAAATCCGAATAAACCGCCGCCTTTAGCCTGTGTCACGAAAGTGATCGTTAGAAAAAAATAAATAAGGAAGCCACCCACCTTGTTGGACAGCCTCGTGTCGCCACCTAGCAACAGCCAGCCAGCCCAGTTGGCCGGGTGCGCAAAGTGCCTAGTGTGCTGCACGGTCTGCATGGCTTCCGCTAGCGCCCTCGATGCCCTTTGACCCTGCAACATAGCGCTGTAAAAGGCTCGCAGTAATATGCTGCCGGCCGTCGGTGGCACCGGCCACGTGCCGACGAGGACGCATTGAGCTCCGGCGCTCAGCAGAGCCTTCGATAATTGTTGCACACCCCGTGCATTAATGGCAATGCCGGGTGAATCGTTGGCCCAGTGACTGCCGGAGACAACCACGAGACGCGCGGTCAGTCGTTGCAGGTCCGCGCGACAATCCAGTTGGTACTCCGGTTTGTCGCTTGGCTCATCGCATTGCTCCGCCGCCAAGCCGAGGCTCGGATTACTCGTCCAGAAGACGGGCACCGTCAAATGCACGCACTCGGCATCCGGAAGGCCACGCAGTATCGCCGAGCGCGTCGCCTCAACACCTGAGACGTTGATGAATAGGGAAAATGATAGAAATAACAAGAGACGAGAAAAAAAAGATTCGCTTCGTTTCTTTTCAATGTATATAAACACTATGGCACTTTTCGATGAATTATCAAGGCAATAAGTACCACATTGTCCCAATCGGGACTATAGGCTATAATAAATAAATAAATGCAAAATATACGTACCAACTAGAGGCCTCGTTTCAAGCAATTCAGCGACAATACTGGCTTCGGTTTCAGCCGATGAGACGTTCTCGATCCATCCGTACTCCTCGCGTATTTGTTCCGGGATATTCGGATTTCCGGCAACTAAGGCGGCGACCGTCGCGTTACCCTCCGGCGTTGGTGGCTTGGATCGTCGCTTGAGTGCATGTAGTGAGGGTATGACGAGCAGCGAAAATCTTTCGCAAAGATAGTCGTCGCCTAAAATTTAAAAATCACCTGTTACTGTATGTACGTAGAGTGCTTATTTGTCCTACAATGGGTTAAAAAACAATTTCACCGTAACTTGATAAAAATATAATAAAAAAGATAAAAAAAAAGATAAAAATATAAAAATAGATAGTTATGATTTTTAACTCAATATTCAATCATAATACAAAGCCCATTATTGTTTATTTTGTCACAACATATATTATACAAACATAGGTTTGCTATCTCTAAAAATAATATATTCCTAGTGATTTTGATAATACTGGATACGCTGCGTATATTTGTTTATATATCAACCGTATGTTGAGAATATGCAAATTGTTCAAAAAAAAAAAAAAAAAAAACCATTTAAACGAAAAATACCCACTTGGACTGGCTTGGAGTGCAGGCAGCGGTGCTAAATAAAGTGACTCCTCGACTACGAGAATGAGTTCTTTTCTAGGCATTGGTAAAAGGTCCTCGAATGGTGCCAGTAGCAAATCATATAGAGACTGCAGACTTTGAGGTGACTGCCAAATGGGTCCGGGCCTTTGTTGAGCCCAACGTGCGCTACCCGCCCTCGAGCTAACGGAACCCACACTAAAAAGGCTGCTGAGGCTGTAAGAGCTAGCATTGAGATGATGGCCTCGGGTAGGCATTTTAGAAGGACAGCAGCCATCGTCGAGACTCGATGACTCCAAGGTCAACTCGCCCAACAGCAGAGCTTCCCGTGCTTCCATCACGCGTTTCTCGAGACTCGGGCCGTTCGCCAGGCTGCTCGAGTGGAAGCGGAGAACGCCACGACCCGGCGCCAGACACCAGCTGTGCACTTCATTATCCACTTCGCTATGGTTAAGAAAGGAAGTTGTATGGGTGTTAAAGAGAGGCGGAGGTACGACTTTCATATGTAGATTTGGAGGGACAAAAATTAAAACAAATTTTCGCAAGACTTATCGTGGCTTTTTAGTTTCTTAAACTCATATAAAAATTATTAATACTTGACAAAAACTTATTATATTTTACAACTGTGATGAGAATCCTACAAAAATTCTTTAAAGTATTGGTATGAAGTTATGAAGTATAAACATTATTCAATATTATACATAACCCCATGAATGTTAGATAATAAAAATTAATAAATACAAAAGATGAAACGCATTTATTACTAATGTACTCGATATAGGTTTACTACACAACTTAAAAAAAAGTGTGTGTGTGTGTGTGTGTGTGTGTGTGCGCGCGCGCGCGCGCGTGTGAGTATGTATAGGATGTACGTTGTGAAAATTCTCTCTATCAAAATATCAAACTAAAACATATAAGAAGGTGAAAGTAAAAAAAGAAAATGGGAGACGATATTGATATTCAGAACATCTACCTGTAATAAAGAACGATGCCTCGCTGTCTATCAACAATATCGGAATAGTGGATTGCCTCTTCGGTCATGCTCTCTTCTTTTGTTCTTCTAGATCTCTCAGCCCAATTGAGGGCCTCATCTGTACGGCCCAGACTTACAAGGACTTTCTGCAGCATTCGATAAGTTTGTGAAAGAAGCTCGACTTTACTGGTCTGCTGATTATAGCTTGCCGCACAGTTATTGAGAGATTCGAATAAACCAGCGGCCTTCTCCAATTGCTCAACGGATATTGTCGCCTCGCCTGCCTCCCAGTGTACAAGACCCAGTCGATGTCGAAGTCGCGCCGACTCGTCCTGTCGACCTAGACCCTCCCACAGCGACAGTCCTGATTGGAGGTAACTCAATGCACGAGGAAGATCGCCTACTCGAGAATTGCGAATTAATTACAGTAGTCGTTCCTTACAAATAATCAATATATTGTTGACGAGCAACTTTAATAAGTACAAATTAATTAGAAGAATTAAATTTAATGCTCTTTTTATTTAACTTTGGTAGCCTGACAACTTAGGTGTGTTAAAATTATTCTGTTTCTTTTCATTTATATCTGTTATGCTTTGAAAAATTTGTCCAACTGCTTAGCCAAATCTGTAATTTAATTTTATCTAGTTTCAAAGCACCGACCAACTCTATATGTATTTTGTTACACAAATTGTACGATGCAATTTCACACGTGTAAGAATCTTGATTTATAATTAATTTATCTTTGTTGCTATTTAATTGATCGGAGCAAAAGTGAGTATTGCATGTGAGTATTGTAAATTAAGTATTATAAATTAGAAAAACGTAAAGATTAGACTATTAGCAAAAATTTTCTTATCCATTTGGCACTTTGTTTGGCTATAATTTTAAGTATAAATTATTTTTGTATTTAAATAGCGGTCTCTATTTTGACGGTCGACCAGCTTCTACCTTAAAGACACACACAAAGGAATGTAAGAAAGATTCCGTTTTATTGCGAATATAGAGAAAAGCTTCACCGCAGAGATGATGAAGTCGACCAAGACTCGAGAAGGCCGCGGCTCTTGCGACCAAATCAGCTGCAGCTGCCGCGAGGCTAAGCGATTGTTCTTGTAATCTGATAGCCTCCGGCAGCTGTCCGAGGGCCTCCTGGGTGGCGGCTAGGTTGGCGCAGGCCCTAGCCTGCAAATCAGCAGAGTCCAGACTCTCGGCGATCGATAACTCGAGCTGGTGATGCTCGAGCGCCGTATCGGGATCGTCCATGAGGAGGTGGACGGCCCCGAGTCCACTGGCGGCCTCCGCCTCTGCAGCTTTATCACCTAAGCCGCGCGCCAGTGATAATTGATGACTGAGACAACTGACCGCCTGCTCGTGATTAGCCAGGGCCGCGTGTATCCGGCCTGCAAATTTATATTAAAAGTTGCCTTCTTTCACAATGCCAATGCACTTGCAGATCTTGCTTGGTCTACATGCGTACGTGCATTATACATTGGATTGTATATTTATAAATAACGGCTCGTTTCCGTGATGGGCTTGAATTAACAGTTATTCAAATGAATTGATAAAAAGTGCGAATGGGTGCGGTGGCATACCTAAATCGCCGTATGCGGCTCCCCGAGACTCGGGGCTGTCGGCCTCGTGAGCAGCGAGCAGCCTCTTCTCGAAGCAAACAAGTGCCTCCTGATAATTGCCAGAGGCTTCCCTAGCTCTGCCCAGACCTCGGTACGCTCGCTCTTGGTCCTTCACGCTTCGCAATCGTACTGCCGCCGCGAGCTGCTGCTCGTGGCATTTCACGGCTTCCTCGGGATCGCCCAGGGCCTCATAGCAATCGCCAAGATTGCCGAGAGCTCGCGCTCGATCCAGTAGCGCTGTGCCATTCGTAAGTGGCTCGAGGGTCGAGAGCTGCTGCTCGAAGTAGCTAATCGCGTCCTCGTAATGGGCCATATTCAATCTCGCTATTCCCAAATTGCCTGTGCCAAAAAGAATCGTCGTTTTATGAATGGATTACGTCTCGTACTGGTTAAATCTCATACGGTTATAGCTATACGTCATAACCAATTGTCATAAGAGGCAAGCGTAGCGAGCAACGACGAGGAACCGCATCCAGCTATTACAAAATCAAGCTGTATTTACGCAATGGTGGATCGAAACCCTCGATTATGATGGCATTGTTAGCCGCGCGAAATCCCAAGGACCCACTCACCCAGCGCTTGTGCCTCGACGCCTGAATCACCGAGCTCTCTGGCTCTTTCCAATTGCTCCTGGTAACACTTGACGGCATGCGTGTATTGACCGAGCGCCATGTGCACGGCACCGAGGTTACCGTGGGCGCCTCCTGGCGTAACGTTAGCTCCTGCGTGTGAAAGCCGAGGGCTTTGTCGAGATTACGAGTCGCGCGATGAGCGACACCCAAGGCCCCGTAGGCCGCGGCTTCGAGACTCCGGTCGGACGCCTGGCGTGCAAGGCTCAGTTGCCGTTGATGCATCTTAATAGCCTCCTCTGCCTCGCCAAAGCGTAGCAGGCAATCGCCAATGTTACCCAGAGCCCTGAATTTGCCCGCCACGTGTTTCGTCATATGAGCTATGGCTATTAATAGAAGTCGTGCGATTAACTTTCTCCAGGAACGAAAAAAAAAAGAAAAAAAACCGCTCACTCACGCACACATACCTAAATAATACTTTTGGCACTCCAAAGCTGTGTCGAGATTACCGAGGGCGAGATGGGCCAGTCCCAAGTTGCAATAGGCCCTTCCCATCCCGGACTTATCTTGCAAATCTTTGGCAAGGGCCAGATCTTGATCGTAATATCTCACAGCCTCGCGGTGATTGCCCAGACAGTAATGTGCATATCCGAGAAAGTGGCAGGCTTTTGCCTCGCCTTCGACATCGTGCAACTCTTGCGACAGCATCAGGTAATTCTCGTAGTAGGGTATGGCTTCGTCGAAACGTCCGCGCGACGACAAACAGTTGGCCAGGTTGAGTAGTGCGCAGGCCTCGCCAGCCGCATCCTTAAGTTCGCGGGCTATTGCTAAATGCGCGCGATAATGACGCAAAGCAGTTTCGTGACCCTGGACCGCTTGGTAGGCGACCGCCAAATTACCATGCGTACTTGCCTCTGAGCTTCTGTCATTCACCTGCCAAACAGAAGACAAGTCCGTAATCTAGTCGACTAATTGCTATATTATACATAAAAAAACATGTACTTTATGAAAGCCCTAAGAGTCGCTTAAGAGATGGGAATGGCACAAGTGTGCCGAAAAAAAAAACAAAAAAACCAGAGAGAGAATAAACAACGACAAACGGGTAAACGTATACTCGTTCAATTTTCTATTCAATTTACCGAGTTACCCTACATTCGAACTGCTTGTGAAGCTTACATTAGGCCAATATTTCGCTTTTTATCACCTCTTTGCTGATGGTGAGCTCCTGCTTATGATACTTGATGGCCTGTTCGTAATAGCCAAGGGCATTGTAGGCGTTACCGATATTACCGTAGGCTCGACCCATTCCCGCTCTGTCACCTAGGGCACGAGCGATGCCAAGATGCGCCTGGTGCAACTTGAGGGCGGCGTCATGGTCGCCCAGTAATTGATACACAATGCCCAGGTTACTGCAAGCTCGACCTTCCGCGACTTTATCCTTGGTCGTTAGTGCCACGTCGAGTTGCCGCTGATGCCAGAGCTTTGCCTGCTGCAAGTCGCCTGTAGGAATAGTCACGCGCCCGATCAATACAACGCGTTCTCGCTTATGTAAATATTTAAATAATTATTTTCTTATTGCACTGGCAAACGAACGGACATTGCGGTATTAGTCAAAAGAAATTATGACGAAAGAAAATGGAATATAAATTGTCTAAGTTGTTGAGATAAGTATTAAATGAAGAATACATACTATTTTTATTCGTTTTAATACTTTACAGCATTGATAGAGATTTTTTGGTTTTTCATTATTTTCTCTTTCATACCGTGAGAAATATGAATGAACCAAACTCATGTAAAAAATAAAAATCTATTGAACAAATGAAGATAAATCGACGAGTTCTTTTTATACATCCAACGCCATTAAAAAAAAAAAAAAAAAAAAAAACCTATAGCCGAGAAAAATATAAAACAATTAATGATAATTGAAGTTTACCAGCGCATCGAGCCGCGTGTCCCAGACCGGCGTACGCCCTCGTTTCAATGGCTTTGTCGTTTAGCTCTTGTGCGATTCGAAGAACATTCTCGTGATAAGTCATGGCCTGTCCGAAATTCCTTCTATAATGGTGCGATGATCCTAAATTACTAAAAGCTCTTGCCTCTTCTACTCTATCGCCTAGTCGACGGGCAATTCTAAGATGTTGAGTGTGACAGTCAACCTGAGAAAAAATTTTTTCGTTCCATTATCATCGATCGCTTAAAACATTATCCGATTGGCTGCTGCTTAATTCATTAATTTTGAAAAACGATTCTTTTAATAATTGAAAAATACCATCGCGTTTAATTCACTACTTTAATCTATATCGATCGATAAGGTTTCGTCGTCTATTTACACTATCGCGTTTATAAACAAATCAAGGGCAATTATACGCCGCTATATAAAAATAGCTACGATACCTACGATGATTTATAAATAAATAAGTATGTAATTCTTAAGCAAGACTATTATATTTTTCATAAACCATACGCATTGTTCTTAAGAACAAGTCTTAACCAAATCGATGAGAAAAAAAATTCATAAAGTAACTTTATTTTAAATAAAAAAACATCGATATTTTTAGCCAATATTCGTAAAGACAGTGATTTTTTGTTTTGTTTTTGTTTTTTTTTTTTTTTTAGAAGTATAGATTCACAAAAGAAAAATTCAACTAACCGCGCTCTCGAACTCGCCCATAGCCAGGTATACCGCGCCGACGTTACCAATCTCCCTGGCCTCCTGCAGTCTATCCCCAATTTGCTTGACAAGCTGGACGCACTGCTTGTGCGAGGCGAGGGCATTGGGCAAGTCGCCGATAGCCGTGTACACGTGTCCGAGACTCGTGAGAGCCGAGGCCGCGGCCTGCGTGTCCTTGCACTTCATGGCGAGCACCAACTGATAGCGATGAGCTGTCAACGCTTCCTTGAAACTACCCTTACTGAAGTAAGCCGAGCCGAGATTACCGTGGGCTCGGCACTCACCTTGCGCGTCGCCCAGTGAACGGGCCACTTCTGCAAAATTTTCACGGCGGTTCTCATTGACGCGTTACGTAATACGGGACAGGTTGTGAAATGAATCGGCGCATGCCTTCTCGTATAAACTGTGACTGTTTCGATCACATCGAGTCAAGGCATTCAGCCATCATTAATTAACATTGAGAGATTCAGCGCTTATTAGCCGTGTACTTTCAGCGCCATACTACACAATAGTACAATTATGTTATTCGACGTTTTGAACAGCCTTAATTACGTAACGAGTGCGTTCGTTTCAACTACGATATTGAAAAATAACAATAGATAATAATAGAAAAATAATGGATCAATATGATGATAACGACATCGATCACGACCACGGTCACACTTTATAAATCATTTTCATTATTATTGAAGTATTAGGTAACCATTAGGAAGGACTAGATATTGATGTAAAAGTACACAAGTTAAATGACATATCCGATTAATTATAAAAATGAGCATTCTCTCGCGCGAATAATATTGCGGACTTTGAATAATATTGCGGAAGGAAAGAAACAATCTGTGTAACATAAATTAGTATCGCTGACCCAAATCCTGCTGCATGTAGCTAATGGCCTTGTCGAGGGAATTGAGAGCCCAGTAGGCGCTTGATAGGGCAGAGAAGACGCTGCCACGGAGCTTGAGGCTGCAAGAGCCGATGGAAAGGGCGGCCTCGAGTACACCAGCGGCGGCCCTGTACTGACCGGCACCCAAGAGTTCCTGGCCCACAACCGATATCACCACGAATGGCGACTCATCGAGTTTCATGGCGCGCAACTGTTGAAACGTCGGCTCAAGGGTTACACGCAGTGGTGACTTCAGTGAGGCCTCGACGAGGCCCGAGAGCAGTTGGCAGTTGTTGGGCTCGCGCCCGAGGCCGATGCTGAAGGCCACGAGGGCCTCGCCGTAACGGCCGAGGCACTGGAGCGCTACACCTTGCCGATAATACGCCTGCAATTCGCAAGAAGATTTCTTCCCTGAGATGACAATTGTCGTGTTCCGAGGCAACGTGTCGTTTTACTTTATCTTTATGGCAATTGATTGGATTTATATAGCCTGTATTTATTAGCGGTAGGTCTGTTTCACGCACAATAATGTTGAAAATTGGTATTTTAATAATATGCTATGTTTCTATTAATACGAGATTTATACATTTGTAGATAAATTATTTGATCGAACAATTCTACAAGTATAAATAAGATTTTAATGATTATAATGTTAAGAATCCCTTGTGAGCAATGCGAATATATATATATATGTATATAAACATATATATATATATATATATATATATATTAGAAGCGAAGGCTCATTGTATAGATGCTACTTCTACATAATGACAATAGTCTGGTCTGCCAATAATTAACTATCAAAGAATTTAAAGTTATTTATATGATATCGTTAAGGTATGTTGGGAACGGTAATATTTTTTATATTATCAGTGTCGTTCTTTTTTTTTCTTTTTTTTTCGGTTTTTGTTCTTTGACCACATATGTAAATTGTATTTAAAGAAAAACTTTGAATTTGTGAAAAAGAAAGAAGAGATATCGGCATTCTATTAATGTGTATAGCAAGGCTCAGTAATAATAATATAATTTGATTAAGACTAATAATTTTTCAAAAACTTTAATAATAGTATAAATCTTCAATTAAAATATTTGAGTAAATACGAACTATAGGAAACTTCTCATATCTGACAAGTTAATAAATTTATGAGAAAAATGATTAATTAGCTTACGGCAGAGAATCAGAACATAATTAAGTCGTATCTTTCGATAAAATCGAGAGTTCTATTATAACTTATGATAAGTACTTAAATAATTAAAAATGTCAGACTATGTCATAAATTGAGTTATTATATTTTACATATCTGGGGCGATACTCGATGTACTTGGTAAACTTAAGTTAAACAATTACTTCACAAAATATTTATTGAATTATTTTCTTTTTGCTTATGAATTGCTAAAATATATGCAATATTAATATAATTTTATAAAATTACGTAAATTGAAAGTATTTGAACAATAAAGTGGATTGCAATTGGGCGAAAGCAGCAGTATAAATTACAAATGAGTATATAAATTTTACAAATAAATGACAATCGTTTCGCTCAACTGCTATTTAGCGTACATTGTGACAGGTATTATTAAAAAATCATGGATAAATATTCGTCAATTAACAATTTCACGTGCAAGCGTATTGATTTCAAGTCATTCAACATACTTTTGGCCATTGGGGACTAAGCTCAGTGGCTCTCACAGCATCTTGTAAGGCTAAAGCAAACATGCCCATCTTGAGGCGAGCTGCGGATCTATTTGAATACAGCACATGGCTCAGAGGATCTAAAGCTAGTGCCTCTGTATATAAAGTAGCAGCTAAAGCGTAGTCTCCATTCTGGCACGCAGCATTGCTTCTGCGTACCGTCTCCAGGAACAGTGTCCGAGATCCGGCAGCCAAGGCCGACGAACCTTCGGGTTCCACCTTAACGTTAAAAAGTTTTTGAATTACTCGCTTACAAAGTCAATATAAGTCATTGATATGCTTAAGATGCACAGCTCAATTTATTCGCAGAAAAAACTGACTCAACTGCTTTTTTAATATACATGTATACTAATTAAAAATGCATAGATGAATTTTTCAGCATAAAATTACAAATTGCTTTAAATATTTTTTTTTTTTTTTTAATTTTTACACTATTTATTTGCTTATTTATTTATTTATTTATTTAATTAATTTTTTTTGTTTTGATAAAGGATCTTTAATGATAAAGGAATTATACTCTTAGTGTATTGTAAAATTAACAATAAGTTGTTTATTATTTACGTATTTCAAATTCAATTGTCATTGTAAAATCGTTAATTTAAAGAGGTTGAAAAAAAAAATCAATAATCATGGAATATGATATTTGCATTCTCAAATAAGCTCGTCTGTAAATATCAATTAATTGTTATTAATAAATTAATTATAAATTAATAAAGTATATGAATACTAAAATCTAAAGTAAAATTAAATGATTAAAAATGATTATTAAAAATGTTGCTAAAATAAAGTAGGTAATGTTAAAAATAAAAGTAACACTAATAATAATAATAATAATTTATTAAAACTAATTATATAAAGATATTTGACCACCAATCCTTCACGTTGTATGATTTAAATTTAAAAATATGCGAAAATCAAAACAAAACATAAACACCCATGAGTTAAAAATAACTTTATTTAAAAATAAAAAACGTCTCGCGTGATAAATAACGAGAAACAGTTTCGAACGTAAGTAATTACTATTCAAAGTGAAAGAAAAAACTTGAAAGTAGAGGACAAATAATACCTCTACGTACTCAAGAACAGCCATTTTTATTCAGGTAAACACAACGAAATAAAAAGACAACAGGTATTTCCATGAAATAAATTTTAAAATGTCGAAGTATAAGCACAACTATATACGTTGGAGCTTAAAAGAGCTAAAGTACAAAATATTATCAGTGATATTGCAAAAGCAAAGTTTAATAAAACAAAAACAAAGGGCTTCATCGGACTAAAACAGGTGTCCATGTATACAAACAAGCGACCGCGCGGTACCAAAGACAAAAAATCGAGGGAGCGGCATTCCCCCGGCTTGAAAAGGACATTGCTGCATTATAAAAGATAACCAGCTATACAAAAGTCATACCTCAGAGATATCCCTATGAGACATTGTTTAAGACGAGCCGGTAGCATGCTTCGGCGTGCTGGGCATTCTGCCTCCTAACGTTCCATTATCCTTCTCTTTCTTTCACTTCCCTTTGCTTCCCTTTACTTCCCTTCAGTCTTCCTTCGAATCTCAGCCACCTTGAACTGCACATATATATTGCTCGACCCAAAAATCTTTCCGCAGCTTCCGAACGGGAAGACGATAAGTTTTCAGGGCGCGCACACATGTACGCTCGCAAGCGTGAATCAGCTCACCTCGATCTTTCACGGAGTACCATGGAGCATTTGGGAGTACCAAGGAGTATGTATGCACTCTTCTCGCGCAGCATCCGAGCGCGAAAAAAGAACGTAAACGAGTACGGAGAACAAGTAGCTCTCCACGTCGTCCACTTTTCACTCTCTTTTCGCGCGCGACCTGCGATCAGAGTAATGCACTCTCTATCCTTCTCCGCATCTCCCTCCCGCCCTACTCGCTTATCTCCCCACCCCCTACCAACCAATAACCCCCTCTTACTCTCTCGCCTTCACTCCCTCACTCACTCACTCACTCACTCACTCTCTCTCTCTCTCTCTCTCTCTCTATCTATCTATCTATCTATCTATTTATCTATTTTTCAAATGCTGTATGCCGCGCTAAAAAAATCTTTGCCATGCTATTGTAAACTTGGTAGAAATGCGAAAACGAAACTCGTGGTTCGACGCAAATGCGCGCGCGCGCTTCTTTTATAAATATATACGCATGCACGCGCTTACCGATAAGTTTGTTTTCGATGGTGCGAGTATAAATCAAACCGATTAAAGAGCGAGAGAGAGAGAGAGAGAGAGAGAATACGCGTACTAGAGAGAAGGAACGCTAGAAAAATAGAGAGACTGAGAGAGGGTGAAAGTGAGGCACGATGAGTACTGGCAGCGATGGTTAGGGGCAGAGAAGGGAGAGAAATGGAGGTATACGGTTCAGTTACATGAGACGAAGAAGGAGTAAGAGAGAGAGAGAGAGAGAAAGAGAGAGAGAGAGAGCGCGCGAGCGAGCGAGCAAGTAAAAGAAGGGCGAGAGGAGGAAGGCACCCACTGCTGCATTCCTCAGGTACAGCCATCTTGGAATGTGACCCCGAGTTCCCCCTTCGGGCCCAGAACGAGCGAGCGGCCTAATACCATAGTGGGGGAAACACTGGGGCACCTGCGCCTCGCGACATGGGCCCGTTCTCATCGCTCTCTCTCTCTCACACACACACACACACACACACTGTATCTCCCTCTTCCTAAGCTCTCTCTTACACTCATCGGCAATAAGGATAGGATCGAAACGCTCATTATGATTATGTTTAACCCTTTTTCCGCGGAGTAGCAGCAGCAGCTATGTGCTCGGAATGTTACATATTTCTCTGAGAAATTATAGCACTCATGATAACATTGCCTCTTCGGAATTTAATGACAAATTACTAATAGAGTAGAAATAAATTATGTTTCTTTCAAATTATTAATGTAACTTCATATACATTTCCTACATTAAGTATTTTTTAATATCTTTCATAATTATAATAAAAAATAATAAAAAGCACAGCTTTTTAAATTCTGTGTATCTCTGTTACAAGTAGTGTTGTATATACTTATTCTTTATAACTTTCATTATTAAAATATTTTCATTCTTTTTCATATTTCTACTCCAAATTCATTTGTTTATAATTTATGCTAAATAAATACTCTCCTTACAAAATTTTATACCCATACATTGTATGTTTCTAACCAGAATTTTTTAACGTAAATTTAGTTCATAAAGCACAATGCGTTACACAAATATGAACAAAAAATAATTGTTCTTGGAAAAATAACATTTTTTATTTTAATATCTTTATCATGTATAAAAAAAATAAATAAATTATTATTTTGTTTTAGTAAAGGACAATTTTATTTTTATCAAAATTAAAATATAAGAAATTTGGTAAAACCAACAATTTTAATTTTAATAATACAACGTTGCAAGTATCATGTTACTAATTAGACATTTTTACAATTTTACACGATGTAGCAACACCAGTACTGGACATGTTTATTCATTTTTAGAAAATTTTTCAAATAATTAGTTGTAAAACGGTAAGTTATGATAAATTAAACAATGTAATATACTATAATCTAAAAATGTGATTCACTAATTTATAAAATTAATACAGTTTTACTTCACTTTAGAATTTAATATAATTACTTATAAGTTTCAGTTAAGCTGGCTATAAAGGTATTTGATAATATTTGATAAACTAAATATATTTATGATTCTGCAATTAATATGTTAATATGATATTATATATAAATAATATTAGTAGACTAATAGTACATTGTTTTAAATACTAAAATTATTTACATACTCTATACCATTTTTTTTTATTTTCAATATTTTTAATGAAAATTGTTAATGTTATTTCATAAATACATTTTTTAAATTTTTTATAAAATTTTCTGATATTATTGATAACGTAATGGAATTTATAACTATCATTCTATAAATTATTATGCACTTTTATATACTTCCCTCTCTTTACGATATTAAAATGAGAAATTATAATCTTCTTATGTATAAAATCAGGTAACTAATACTAATGGTCTTTTTTTGTAATTAAATAATTTGTTTTGATAAATGATTGAAAAGAACATTTTTATGAAACTGACCTTATACAAATATATATAAATTCTGACTTTAATATCATGATTGATAATGCAATATATATTGAAAATATTTATAAATGATAATCGCAAAAAAATTATTACAAATTAACAATTAATACGTAATAATAATGCTAAAAAAATTTAGCCGACTTCTTAGTCAACTGTGCTAGAAAAGAGATTCAATAAGCATCTAACATCTAAATACTGTAAAAAAGTAAAATCATTTTACTGATCCAATCTCGATAATTCATTTAATAAGTTCTAATATCAATTTGCTTATTGCTTATAAAGAGTATAACGATCTGTGAATATAATGGCAAAACATCTATGAATAGTTCAGGATAACGATTAGGTAGTTAATAAAAGATAAGTGTAAATATTATATATTTAAATTGATAATCAAAATTATCATAAATCATTTAGAAAATAAACTAGTAATATGCTTATTTCAAACAGATTTTTGAGATTTTAGAGATTTGAGAAATTTTAGAGTTTTTTAGAGGTGAAATAATCGTTCATCCGAATTTCTAATAAAAGAGTACCCGTCAAAAATTACATAAGAATATTTAACATTTAATAAACATTTAATAAACTACATAGAATTCCCAATCTTTTTCATATAAGTTCTTTTTGAACATTTTTAACTAAATGATTATTTTTCAAAATTATTACAAATCCAAATTTATCTTTGATCGTGTATGCCATTTCATTTATATATATATATATATATTTATTTATTTATTTAAATCTGTTCAACATCTGTTATTTAAATGCGTACAAAAATTAAATGCAATATCAATTATCAATTTAAAATTTCGATTTTTTTAAATCGAATTTATTCGAAACTTAAATGTTTCAATTTTATTTTTAATTTTTTTATTGTATTTATTATAAATAAATGGAAATTTATTTATAAAATTTCATTTGTTTTTACGAATATTACATTCATTCAAATTCACCAAATTAAATTGTTTGTTCAAGATTATGATGTATAAAGTTTTTATTATAGATTATATTAAAGTTTTATATATTAAAGTTTATAATATAGATTCCATATATCAAGATATGTATTTAAATTAATATATAATTAGTGATATAATAATTTATATATAAAAATTAATATTCTTTCTATCAATGAATTCTTTTTAGATGTTTTAAGTTTATATTCAGGTTGTCACTATATTTTAAATTATTCTCAATGCTTAAATATTATTTTATCTTATATTTTGTTATAAATAATATAATATGTTAATCATAACACAATTCTTTTAATTCACTTATGTTAAGTAGCAATAGTATTATATAGTTAAGTAGGTAGAGTATAGTATTCTGTATGTATTAAAGGAACCTTATTTTCAACATTACATATTGATTTATGTGTATATTTTTATTCTAACATAAGTTTATATGTTCAAAAAATTCAGATATCTAAATGACATCTCATTATTGTAAATTTAATAAGCATCATATAAATTATGTTACATATAAAAAATTTTTTAAACTAATTTGAAATAATATACTGTTGACAATTTTCAGATTTCATTGTAAATAATTTTTTTATTCCAATAAAATTGCTTCTGTAATTTCATATTTTTCTGTTTTATAATTGGAAACAACTTTACTATCAAGATGATTTCAAAATGCTTCGTTCACAATGTTTCTAACAGTATTTTATTTATATTTATTAAAAAAAAACAAAACTATGAATATAATGTACATTCTTTTTATTTTATACTCTTTATTTTTTTATCAGATTTGTTCATAGCAATTGAAAATAATATTTGTACCTGTTTTTTACAAACTCATTTTTAATTCAATGCAAAGTAAAATCGTCATATCTAACTTTCAATGTTATCAGTAACCTAAAATGACTAATTTTTATTTTTCTCTATTAAACATAAAATCTTAATTTCAAAAATGTTTTTGCATTAAGTACGAGAAATTATAGAACGAATATTAAAAAATATGAAATAAGATTCAGCCAATTTAATTATTCAATATGTGGAATAAGATTTACAAAATTGTATATTAAATACAATGTAAATACAAATTAAATAAAAATTCTTATTAAATTTTATTTACAAAAGTACTTAATGTATAATACAAATGTTTCATAGAGTAAAATAAAAACTTGACATTGTTTTAGACACAATTAAATGAATATTATTCAAATAATTTAAAATTATTTATCACTGTAATATATTAGTTTTGATTGTTTAATATTATATATTGTTCGAAATTTGAATCCCTATATTTACTATCTATATTGTCAATTATGATTAATAAGTTAAAAAATCTTGTGATTAAATTTTAGTATAATTTATTTTATAATTAATAAAGATATACATTGTGGGCTTGTAGAAATTTGTGTAGAAATATGTTTATAATAGTGTTTTTATTTTTACAATCTTACAAAATCCTTTATTTCTTTAGATTTACATTAAGAATAATATACTACTTATACAAAAGTTTATTTAATTATACACAATTTTTTTAATTTTATTCTAATTATTTTCAGTTAGAAAAATACATATAACAAATAAATGTATGCATTTTCATAAAATAAATCAATTTTCTTATTCGTTTAATATTATTATTGAAATATCATATATTATTATAATATAATATAATGAATACTATAATGCACAAGATATTAATTTATAAAATTAAGTCAATGCAACGAATTAATTCTTAAGTGAAACGATATCAATTAAAACGTTATTCTATAAAGTAATAATTTATCCTATTTGCATTTAATTTATTATGTATTCACAAAATTTACTGTACTCTTAGTATATATCTACACTATTACATTATCTGAACAATTTAGAAATTCACTTAATTGCTTGATAAATTTATATTTTCAATACTCCTTTAATTAGAAAGAATTATCTAATGCAAATTATTTTAATTCTTTTATTTTTGAGTTATTACACATAGTTAATTTTATTATTGTAACAATATATTGTAATTACAAACATCTTTTGAATATATTGAAACTTTCCTCAAAAATAAAAGATTAGTATTAATTTCTCTTGTAAATATTAACTACATATTTACATATAAAAATTTATAACACTTAGATAAGATAATAATTATCACTAAGATTATTAAAGGAAAAATAGTATTTGTAAAACAGAACTTTGATATAATTTTTAAGAAATATTTTCAAAACCTCTCAAATAGTATAAATAAATATTATACTACAATCAACTCATTAATGAAAATGTAAGTTGGGTACAAATAAAATAGTATATTTTGTTGAATCCATTTGTTCAATCAGTAAAGTAACTCTTTACCCATATACCCATTAACTCATCTTGCTTCTCTAAAAATTGAGTTGACATAGTTCGTTTTAATCTGGTTTGGAGATTCAGTGGGGAATGTGAAGATCACGATAAGAAAGGAACCACAAGATCTTCTTTATGTTCAACTTGAATTTCATTCAATGCTATCACAGCTTTGTGTATAAAATCTGTGATCTGTGAAATAAAAATATTATTTATTATTGCATAAATATCTATAAAGGAAATTATATAAAACATACACCACGGTGCAAACACATACGCACACATGTCATATAAAACTTACAAGTTCTTTATCACAGTGAATTATAGGCTCAGAGGCAAGAACTCTTTCTGGTGCTGGTATATCTCTAAGTATACAATAAGAGATATCTGGTACTTTAATTCCAACAGTCTCTATTCGTTTTGCATAAGCTCTTGATCTTTCTAAATATTCATGTTGTTCTAAGTTATGAGAATCTAAAGCTCCAACATCTATTATATTCCTGCATGTTGAATATTGTAATATATATTATTTAACAATATCTAAAACTATTTCTTATTAATATAATTATTTAGGCTTCTCACTATATTATTTAACTATAATATGGCTTAAATATGAAAAAAATATTATATAAATAACTTACGCTGCCGTTTCATGAAGAATTCTATTAAGTGCGCTTTGCTCATCTGTTTTTTTTGGTACCGAACTTGCATATTGATTCACATAATCATCGCTGCAATATCAACAAATGATATATGTGCTTATAATAATTGTTTATAATTTTAAATAACAAACCTATGAACTCTTGGTATATTAGTATTATTACTAACAGGATCCACAAGTAAATGTGTACGTTCATTAACTTCACCACTCTAAAAATAAAAAAATTAAAACATAATATATTTGCCATAAATTTAAAAGATTCTTTAAAAATAAATTTCGGAGAAGTGTTTATGATTAATTTGAACTTAGATACACTAATTTTACCATACAAGCATATCTTATAAGCATCGATAAGATAGTGTATGAAATCATGAGTAAAGCCAGTTAGAATATTTTTTATAATTGATAAAAGAAAATACCGCGTTTACCTGATGGCTGTTGTCCTCTTTACAGAAACTATAGCAGCACCCCATTTTGAAAAAAAATATATAAAACTTCTTAGAATTGTGAAAATTGAATAATAATAGAATGGAAAATCTTTAAAAAGTCATATTTTTTTGTTTGAATTGTTCACTATCTAGATAAATAACAATGTCAGGACGTTAAATCAGCTGTCGTGACTTCCATAGGCAAAAAATAAACTGCTTGTACATTAAAAGTATGAAGCTATAGATAATTCTCTGGCAAAAGCTTTGAAAAATGCTCGATTCATCCAAATGGTGACGAATTTCTCGTCAAATTCTAACAATTACACGTCAGTTGCCTGAGAATCGTAAATACATTAAAAAAATTATATTAATTAAAGGAAAAATTAAAAAATAATTTTCTATAATAATATAAAAATTACTATACATATTAGATAATAATTTATAATAATTCTTACAAATACATCTTATAAATTATTTTACGGTATTTATTGATAATTTAAATTTAAATTTCCAATTCTAAGCTATTATATTTAATAAAGAATAAAATTAAATATACAATGTATTTTTTGAAATTTGGAAAATAAGAGATATCAGATTTCATTTCCGATATATCCCTACTTCTATCTTCCAATGAAATTTTCTCCCGCGGTTAGATTAATTAATCTAAAATATACAGCAAATGAAAATTTGGTCACATAAGAAGTATAGCATAGTCATTGGATATTAAAGTAAATAGCATAAAACCGTATAAAAGTGATACGATTCTTATAAGAAGTTCTATGTATATGAAGCAAGCAAGGCTTGTCGACTCCAAAATAAGTGCAAATTAATTCTCGTAAAAAATCTAAAAATAATTTTTACGTTTATTGATGTGTGTATTAAATTTCTGTATAAGGTCGAGTAAAGAAGGTTATAGATCTTCAATTTAAATAAATTAAAAATATATTCAAGTTTTTTCAATTACACTCATTTTATTAATTTCATTATATTTATCAAGATTATCGCCAAACTAATAACTATATATAAATTTATGCATATAATATATATATATATATATATATATATATATATATATATACGTATATATGTATGTATAAATAGGTATTGAATAATTATAAAATAATAACCGATAGACACTTCTTGGAGCAATGACCAGATGTTACAGCATAAAACTATTACCTTTATATATAAACAATAATATTCAGGTAAAATGACATATAAAACATAACAGATAAGTTACTTAAATAGTTTATTTAATAATTTCATTAATTAAAAAGTTTTAATAAATCATTATTTCCATAAGTACTAAATATTATTTAAAAATATTGCGTTAACCATGTTTTTTCATGACCAAATATCATTCCATGAGGTTTGTATAATTTATAAAATATATTTTGTAATACATTGTTTGAATACAGTGAAAATTGAAGGAGCTATAAATATTACTGAATTATAAATTGAATATAAAATAAGTTAGTATTATAATTAATATTATTTAAAACTATTTGTATTAAATTGTAATATTAAATTTCAGTGGTTATTAATAATTTAAATTTAATTTTCAGATTGATATGGGATATATTTATGCTCAAAATACTAAATGGATACCATCACTCTAGAACTTAGATCTCAATTGCGTTCTCTTAATGCATACATTTCTTTAATAAACAATATTGATGTTTCAAGAATTAAAGTTAAATTACTAGAAAATGCTATAGAAATTCAAATTGAAGATGAAACATATAATCTGCCATTATGTGGTGTTAAATTATTACCATCTTCGCTCTCGTCACTAGGAATAACGAATCGTTGGATATTTTTTCGTATTCAAACACAGCCAAATTCTATTTATGGCACTTTTGAAACTGAACTTATCAACTCTGAGAATAAATCAACGAATTTTTTAAATATTACAAACAAAGTTAAATTACCTCCACAAAATGTAAATTGTAAATTAATTTGTATCTGTTGTAAAAATGAAGTTACAAAGACCATTTGTTTTCAAAGAATTCTGCCACTACCAAGTGTTGACTGTGATCCACAAGAGTGGTTTTGCTGCAAGCATAGTAACGACGAACCCTTTTCACTAAATCCAGGAGAATCGGATTTATTTTATTCTATTAACTATTCTATTTTCAATAAAAACATTTTTAAGGAAAATTTGAAATTACGAAAACTTTTGATTCATTGCAGTCGATGTTTCACCATTTTGGGTTCATCAAATTATAAAAATTTGAAAAGTATTAAAATCTGGAATTGTTGCATAGAATACAAAATTTCCAATAATAATACTATTCTTAAAGGAGTACCTCCGTTAACCGACTTTTTATCAACTATTAAGCATACAGCTGAACTTATTACTGGTGAGAAAATACTCCTAGAAGCTCAAGATGTTAATAGTATTCATTACATTTTATTGAGACCTATGGAAGCTAAATTAAATCTGTTTACCGAAGAAAAATTAAATTCCAAAAATCAAATTTTGAATTTAAATTCTTCATTTGTTGTAAAAATATTATATAAATATGGTGAGAGTAATAAAACAACAAAACACAATGATCCAGATATTAAATATTGTGAATTAGCTCTACCTAGTATTTTGGCTGGAATGGACCAACTTGTGAATTCAAGTATAAGATTTCCTCCAGTTTACAGAAAGGCAGATGATTTTTATATTGGTTACTTACCAATGTAATTCGTTGTGTAAATATAATATAAAGTACGGCTATGCCAAGTACTCGCTTCATAAATATTATAACGACAAATTCTCCTTTACATTTTATAATTCAATCATGACAAATTTTTAATATACATATTAAAATATGAAAAATTTGAATATAAAAATATAAAGACAAAATATAAATGTTTTAATTAATTTCAAAAAATTTTTTTTATTTTAATTATTTAAAATATGCAGTGCTTAAATTATATTTTCAAATTATAATTGCATATTAAAATGTAAATATCTGTAAAGAAAGAAATGAACAATTGTAAGAGAAATAAATATTTTATTATCTTTTTGCAATCATCGTTTCGAGTAATTTATTTCTAAAAAAAATCATGTACAACTCATTATGACTGTTAACATTTTATTAAAATTGTACTCTATACAGTTTGATTCTTAAGTATAAGTCTAATTTTTGTCGAGTGTTTATCAACATACATTAAAAAACTTTTCATTCTTGTTATACATACTATAGACATGCAAATTGCTTTACAAGATAATAGTACGACTATCAACGAAAACAATGTTTAAAATTGAGTGAAAATTTACATATACTGGCATTGAAGTCCTATAATTTATATTCTAATTTCTAATGTACATGATCGTTTCGTGAACTTTTTATTGACCTCATTATGAGGAATAACATATTCAATTTTTATTTTTCTATTAAAACCTTAATATATTAAAAATTATTTTATTACCTAACAAGATTCATAAATTAATTGAAAATAAATCATCAAATACAATCATTATTATAATTATTAAATACTTATCACTTAAAGCATTCATTCCCAAACAATGTTCACCTTCAATTACTTAAAATGCACTTTTTATCATTTCAAACGCATTCTATGTAAAACAGATTTCATGTTTTTTGATTACATGATTATTATCAAATTTTACATTTAAACTATTTTCTTACATATGATGAAATAAATAAATAAGAAATAAATACATGTACTATGAATTTTTATAAAATAACTTTGGGCTAATAATACACAACTATTTTTTTAAAGAAATTTATGGAGAAATTGATGAATTTATTATATTTATAATTTCCTAAATAAATTAGTATTTTAAGAATAATTTATGGCGTTACTGAATTAATACAAGCTCCGATCGAGAGGAATGTTAACACACAAACGCATATTTCCATTATTATATTTGAAAATATAGCACAAAATCGGAAAAGCCTTTTCACTCTTATCTGAGCTCTTTATTTATGGGAAAAAAAAAATAAAAAAATATCAATATGAATTTAATAGAAAATATTTTGTAGCGTTTTTTTGTCTATTTAATTGAAGGCCACTTGGATAGATTCGATCAACAATCGCATTTATAACTGCCAAGCGAAGTAAGAATTTTGGTGTCAACTTAATTTTTTTGTTTTCGAACATTTAAAATTTTGCGTTGTCATATCTCGTGCTACCAGAACAATTTGAGTTACATCAGAATTATTTGAGTTACATTTTAGTACACAGAAGCAAACGAAATTACATATTATTTAGTGGAATTTAAATTTTTTAATTTTAATAATTTTTAATAAATTAACAAATAACACTAGATTAAATAAAACAAAACCACGTTAACCAAACATTTTCCATTCTTTGTTGATGATGTATGGTATGAGAAAGTTTATTCAAAATTTTAAGCAATTATGGATGACTAGTGTGTGAGTAGGATAAAATAACATATCTGATAATACGAATATTACAGATATATTTCAACAACAGCTGTGAGAAACAAAAAATTAGTCACATTTTGATATTGAGTCCAGTCAAACGCAAACCTAAATTAATGTTACCATATGATTTTCATTGTACAAGAAATGTAGTCAAATATGCACCATCATTAAGAATTGCGAACAACAAATAGAAAAATAATAAAGACATAATATTTCCATTTGTCATTAATATGAAACAATATAAAAGGCAGAAATAATTTTAAAACATTCATACGGAATATTTAATTTATACTGCAAAATAATAGAACCATTTTTTTCAGTATGAATGGTAATAATAAATAGTATATTAATTATTTCACATAAAAAAAAGTTTTTTTATAAAAATAAACATAATGTGGATTATGCCATCAAAGAATTTAAAAAAAAATTTTGTCTTTGGATAGATAAAAGCTCGAGTGCATAACAATGTAGCCAATTTAGGGAAATAAAAACCATTAGTCACAATCTAATTATAAAAAAATCTTAAAAAATAGGTTTATTATTTAATGTATTGTATATTTAAACCGGTGCATAAGGCAATTATAAGATAGTAGATTGATTAGAAATTTATTTTTTAAGGATACTTTTAATAAAAGAATTTATATAAAATCCTAGATATTAATATTGTAATTTATGGACATTGAATATAAAGATTAAAAACAGTTTTGAAAGAAAATTTTGTAATAATAACTTATTGAATTCATAATGTATGATAATAAATCTAACAAACATTCATCATAATTTATTAAGATTAATTAAACTAAAAAGACGGTTTTCACGAAAAATTGTACTTTTATCATCACATTCAGTTTAATAAGAAGCTCCTAAAATTTTGATAACATTAACAAAAAGAATTTATTTATTTATTTATGTCAGGATATTAAATTAAAACATATACAGCGACTCTAGTTTTAATAAAACAAAATGGCATTTCTAAAATCAATAATAAAATAGAATAAAACTTGAGCATATTATAGAACCTATGGCACACTCGAAATGTGAAACCAATAATACTATAATTATATTACTACATTCGCTTTTTAATTATCTTTTTTATGAAGAATTTGTTCATCTTATTATTGTATTGTTCATCTTAATATTGTAACGCATTCTATAGATTTTTAACGAGAATAATTTAAATGAATAATTTTAAGAATTCAATATGTTTAACAAAGTTCGTTTATTTGAAAAATTATAACAGTAAATAACGATTTAGAAAGAAAGTATATAAATAAGATGAGATCACATTTTTAAAAATATATTTTGTAAGTGCGCTTTTGAAGTAATGATTAAAATTTATAAATCCTAACTTCTAACAAAGCATATAAAGTATACCTGCAAATAAGGTTTCTTTCTCCTTTTCTTTCTATTCTTTCTCTACTTATCTCTCTTTCGTTTACATTTACAAAATGTAAGTACAAAAATGTAAAGAGATTAGTTAGATATAATAATGGTGTTTGTCACATGTACAAACTTTTTAACAATAGATAATGCAATGAAGACTGAGGAGGTAAAGGAAGTATAATCTATGTGATTTCCTAATAAAATATACGTATTGCATAGGTCATTAAATTTGTAAAATCCGATTTATAGATGTATTTTAACGAGTTTTCATTTTCATTCATTTAAGGAGATGTGAAACGTCGAAATAAATTTTATACTATTTACACTTAAGTAAGTTAAAAACTTAGAGAAGAATGCTGAATACCATTAGCGAATGTCTCTTTCATTACGATGAATTTTTTATTTATTCGAAAAATAATAGCTTTAACTAATTTAGACTAGATTCTCAGAATTGTTAAGCTGTATTAATTCATAAGTTTATTCAATGCTAAATATTTTTATTATATCCAATCCAAATTGAAATAAACAGAAATTAATAATAGTTTTAAAAGCTATAAAATCTCATATAAATTACAAAAAATCATTACAAAAAGTAATAATTTATAACTTCCTAATTATAATAATTAACATCTTATTATTTTTAAATTTATGTTATCACAAAACGATGTACTGGTTTTCTTTTAACTTTTCAATTATAAAATGTTAGAAAAAAGAATCATTACTTCAAAGCTACTTAATCGATGATAAAGCACTTTCACATCTCCTTAGCAGCTTTAGACATCGCAATCTTGCAATGTAAATAATGTTTGTAATAATTATTACTGTGCGCGATTAGAAAATATATGAATGTTTTCTTCTCATATGCTCGCTGTTGTAAATGTATTTATTGCACTATCGACACTTGTAGTAGCTACTGTTTCAGTCACTCGTAATCTCGATTCTAGCGGATTTACGTATACCCACACGCCGTCTTTGGTTTCCTTAAACAACTGTAAATAAAATTTTTTGAATTCGATCATCATGAAATCATATGTAATTTGTAATGTTATCGATGTATTTTAACTACGTACAATTAAAATCTACGTTGAATTAAATTTAATGTCGCATAATTAATTCTATTAAATAGAGGTAAAAGAATTAAAGAAAAGAATAATAATTATTAATAAATTAGAAAACGAAAGGGCAGAAAGTCCAATTTTTTTTAATTCATTTCAATATTTCCATTGAAATAAAAAATGCAATACAATTTTAAAAATGGCCTCCCACCTTTGTTTGCCATCCGATGCTATTTTCTTTGCGATATCGCACGTCTTCGCGCTGTCTTTGTTCGATTGCGCATTTAGCAGCCGTTGCCTTATCCATGTCATTGATGCGTAGTCCCATTGTTACTTCACGCCATATCTTACGTGACTCCTCGTCGTCCTGCTCACTCATTGGTTTAACCATCTTTTTCTCTATCCTCTGCTCTCGGACATCCGCGAATATTTCGATTCTCTGTAAACGAAAATATAATTTTGAATATTTCATTTACCATGATGCGATTAAAGTATTCGCTCAATTACTTTATACATCAATTACGCACACACACACACACGCACACACGCGCGCACACACACACACACACACACACACGCACACACACTGTGAACGTTCATTAATTTATAAATTATTTTTAATAATTAAGGAAAGTCAATTTTTTTCAATTTTATTCAACGCCCATCATATAAATATTTGCTTTTACACGCACACACACGCGAAGGCCGTATCAAATTTCATTATTAAATCATTCATGCCTTTGAAGAAAAAGAAAATATTTACTTCAAGTTCCTCAAGTAAATTTCATTCATGTTTCTTTATTTTATTTATCTTTGTCATCTTTGTCGTATTCTATCGTTAAAATAATTCTCTTAATTTAACTATTGTAACTCGAATCGAAATTTTCGATTGCGTTGACATTCGCATCCGAGACACTAATAATAAGTAATTTTATCGTATTCTAAACTTCCATAAACTTATTCCCTTCTTAGAGAGAGGTTTTTTGTTTGTTTAACAAAATAGCAACAAATATTAAATTAAAAATGAAATTTTTTTTTTATTTTAAAGGAATTTTAAATTATGTCAAATCGTTCAGAACAAAAATATATACGTCTGTTTCTCTCATTACAACAATTATAAACTTATAAATTCAAAAATTCAAAACTTATTAGATAGACTTATATTTTTGAAAAATAGCTAAAAATTATAATTCAATCTCATGATAATTTTTTTCCCAAAACCTTCAAATGCTTGTAAGCCTTAAATTAACTTTAAACATAATGCCGAACAAATGTGAAGAATCCTCGATGTATGCATGCATATAAATTTCAAGAAAATTTCACTCGGTAAAATATGAGGATCGAGAGCATATACTACATACACCATCGGCCCATTTTGCCTCCATGGCACCGCTCCAGTCTCCATTAATCGAAAGGAAAGGTTTCTTGTCGATGGGCCCGCTTATTTGGCAGGTAATTCGATTACGCTTGCCGCCATAGAAAGGCTTGGTAAGAAAATCAATGGTTGCGTGATAACCGGTCTGGGCGCAGCTGATGGTCGTCGCGCCGCCCAGCTCGATCCACGGCACCGTGAGAATGGATCTGGCATAGCCATTGGGGAAGGTGAGGACGTATTCCTCGCCGTGGCTGTGGAGGCTCACCCGGCCCTTGCCCACGTTGTGCACGCCAATGCTTAGCCCGAGGAATTTGCTCTTCGTCCAGACGTGAGCATTGAAGCTTATTTTCTTAGCATAGTGTTCCGCGTAGAAGGCGCTTACTAAGGGCAAATAATATGCAAGTAGTTTAGTGCGTTTTACTGACTAACATGTCAATCCCTGTATTAGCTTAATCAAATTCTCTCTGGCTTTCGCTCAAATAAAGGCAAATCAAACTCTTGTAATATTAATCCTTTATATACACGTATCTATTCTAATTATAGTAATAATGGCTTGAAATACTAAGATTTATTTTTAATTGCTGTTCATAATATGATATACTTGTGTATCTATATATTATACGATAAGATAAATTCATTGACGTAAAATTTCACGGTATCATTTATATTATTGAAAATCGCTTATTTACTAAGTATACTTAATAGCATAGATTAAATAAATGTAGATGTCACAAAAAAAAAAAAAAAAATTAAAAAAAAAATAATAATAATAATAATAAATGCTACAAATATATCACGTTATTATTAACTTTATAATTTAGAAAAAACGAATAAAAGAATAATTAAATATTGTCGATTAATTAAAATTTTTATACGCGGGAAAGGAAGAATTCACAACAAACCATTCTCACTATTGAATTACTTTACATATAATTATTTTTATTCTTTTTACACATATGAATTTTTCATCTTGAAAAATAATGCTGCTTTGTATAAAAATTCAAATTTTATATGAAATATCGAGCGTTTTTTTTTTATAGCGTTTGAACATATTATCGTTTAATTCTGATTATTTTCATGGAATCGCTACTGTTAATTAATTAATCCTTCTTCTCTATTCTTCACTCTTAATTTCATAATTTTGGACTTTTTTTTTAGAAGGCGCTATCTTATCTAGTATGCTCTTTTTGTTCGTTTTCACTCCTAAATGTTGACAGATTTTTTTATGGTTAATTGTTTTGGGAACAATAGCTCTGACGAGGATAAGGATCCTATACAGCACGAAATATTATCTGTCTTCTATCAATCTCTCATTTATTCTACTCATGAAATATTATAATAATTGACTCAATATAATTTATGAATTTAAATACTTATTAATCATATTTTAATAATTACCAGGAATTATAATTATTAAACAGACATCCAAATTATATAGTAATGAAACTTTTATATTAACAAAATCCTCGCAAACTATTGTTTGTATAGAACGCATGAAATGTATTACTATGATTAATCCTTAATATATCAGTAAGCAATATTTATAATATATGATTTTTAAATTACTGACAAAAATCGGTCAAATATGAAAGAAGTAAAATTGTTAATTATTATTACTAAGTTATTACAAATAAGTAGAATTTTTTATTATTTATTTATTTTTTCTTTAACAAATATCGTAGGAAACTATATTTATAATATGAATTTCATTTAATTTATTATGTTTTTCAATTATTCTTTATTGAATCACAAATTCCAAGCTTATAATTATTTGTAAGTATTTATAAACATATAATTTCATAAATTAAATAATTTTATACGCGATTTTCAAAATGGAAATGAAAATTCATAAAAAGAAATCTTTTTCATGGTACAAGCTTTTATTCATTCATTTGCAAAATATCAACATACTTGTTAAATTAATTACTACACTTGTTGGAATAAGTAACATTTCTGAAAACAATAGTAAATATAGTGAATAATTTTTAATTATTGGCTTTAAATTCTTTAAATTCTTAATATTTTAACTATATTTAATATTACCATATTTATATAAATATAAATTTATTTTACCATTTTTAATAAGTTTCCTTATATATTAAATAATTTATCAAGAATTAATAAATGAATTATTAATATAAATAAAAATTAAAATAAAACGAAAACAAATCTTCTAAATGAATTTTTATTTTAAATTGTTTAATAACATTGCATAATTTAAAATAATTTATTAAACACAATTTTCATCTTGTAGCATCTAAAGATTATTTAATAAAGTCGATAAATGCTATTATTGAATTAGATCCAATAATCAGTATATTTCATAGAGAGAATTTTAAAATCTTTAAACATTTTCTTTAGATACAAGTTCAGAAGATAATGATAATGAAAGAAGAAAGCAAACGTTACGTACCTGGCGGATGGTGAGATACTTGTTCCGCAATAAAGGATAATTGATTTTCATTACACCAGGGTATCGGTCCATTTTCAACAATTTTTGAAAGGTTCGCCTCTTTATCCGATGTCGGCAGCTCCCAAAAACATCGGAAAATCTCACCAAGCACCGGATTATACGGTTTTTTTGCCACACCGGATTTTCGTCCAGCATGAAAACTGCACACATACCATTTCACAACTTGCACCATTCGATCTTTAGGTGTGGTCATATCAGCGATACTACAATGTAAATTGAAAAATTTCATTTATTAATTTACGAAATTTATATTATTTACAGTTATAAGCTTCTTCTGATTAAAATTAAAATTTCACTATAAATATATGTTATAAATTTTTTCTAAGTAACGTTGTGTCCATATTAAAATAAACTTTAGATTATTATAGTTTATTATTTTGTTATTATTATTATTGTTGTTGTTGTTGTTATTATTATTATTATTATTATTATTATTATTATTATTATTATTATTATTATTATTACTGTATTCTAGTATGAAATAAAATAGTTCAAGTATTATTTATTATTAATTTTATTTTCAATTATTAAGAAAAATTATTAATTCAGAAATAATTGTGATTACTCATTTGATATACAAAATTTAGTGGAATATTTCAATCATACCTGACAAACTGATCTGGATGTGCAAAATAATCCGCATACATCTCTAACAGAGATCGGCGTTCCAAAATGAAAGTTGGCAAAGCCACTTTTGTCAAGTCCATGCCAATTTTTACTTGGGACAAGAGATGTGTCACCACCGATCCATGACTCTCCATGGAATCCACTAAACGCATAAAATTTATTAAAAATAATATTAAATCATTTTGATATTTTTATTCATTGAGATAAAATATATGAATGTAAACTTACTTTCTTCTTCGCTCTCTTCCTCGTACAATGCTGTAATAAAAAACAAATTTATTTTTAAAAGATTTCATTGAACGTGATTTTCGTGATTACAGATCAATAGTAAAAAATGAAAATGCTCATACACGAGCTCAATTATTTTCTATTTTTTTCACATATCATTTTCGTTGTTAACTATGAAAAGGGAAATCAATACAAAAGCGATTATCATATACATAGATATATTTTTATTATTTGTACTGTATATGGGTAAAGACTAAAATTAAGAGTAACATTGTTTTCTGGGTGCGATTTTAGTTTTTGATAAAATAGAGTTATCAAAACTAAAACTTTTAACTATTAAATATTTAGAAACTCAATAATAAATATTAGAATTAGAAATAGAAGAAATTTGAAATTATGTAATAAGAACAAGCTAAATGACCAAATTCTCGCTTTATAAATTTCAAACATACATTTTATTTTGCAATGCAAGTATAATAAATTTTGTAATTTTATTTCTCTCTACATTTTTTCTAACTGATATTACATACGCATTAAATTTCAGAAATTTTCTTTTTGTTGTTTTTTTTTCCTTTTTTTATACGGACTCTTATGTTTAATAAATAAAAATACAGAGTAGTTAAAGATTTTTATTCGCAACATGCAGTACAAAGTCGTATGTAATATTTCGAATTTAATCCGAGAAAAATGAGAACAGCTGAAAGAAACGGGAGCGCACGTAAGTACGAAAATCAGCAAAAAGAAGGTTAACAAAATTAATCAAATGTAAATGAAACTCACAATTGACATTGGCTTTCAACATTGTTCCACTGTATCTTAAGGCAGCACGTATCCATTACTACGGGTAAAAAATGTGAAGTTGCAATAACGCAAAATGAAGTATCCCGTAGTTATGCTCTCGTATTTTGTATGCTTAACAAGACGTATATTGTGTATGCCCAGCGCAGTATATAAATATCAAATGCGTGGGAGAAATGCAGTTTGCACAGAAATGTGTTTTTACGTTGTAAAGCATAATCTATGCTTCTACAAGTTTATGCAGCACGAATCGGATCAGGGCAGACTGAGCATTAATATCGCGATGACACCTCTCGCGCAGAACATCGCGTATTTTCCCTCAATATATCTATACAAGACATAAGAGAGGCGTGCAAGTGCAGTTAATAGGTCGAGGTACCTCTGTTAAATCGATATATTGTCAATGTAGGTAAAGTCACAAGCTACTCTTTCC